TCACTTGACATGTCACTGTCACACTAACCGCCACTGTTCCCGGCCCATGCAGCGCGCGGGTCGCCGGGCCTGTACTTCGCCAAGGGGCCCAAATGTCAGCCGTTCTCGGGCACACCCGATGAGAACTTCTCGGACGTCCGCGGCCTAGAGTTCAGCAGTGACGGCTCCCGCATCGCATGGGTCACCAGTCAGTGGTACGTACCGAGTCGCGGAGGGCTGCTCACGACCGCCCGGGGAATACACGTTTACAGGGGATCAGTGCAGCTCGCATAGTGTGTCCTCAATCGATATCATACAGGACAGACGCCGCTATGACATTGTTGGGCTTGTTTGGAATAACGATTTATTTCAAAGTTGGGATCGGGATCGTCGGCGAGTTTTGTGAAATTTTATCTCGATTTTTTGTCCGAGTGATGCAAAATTTATTTGATGAATGAATCGCATCTGTGTATTATTTTAACGTCCTTTTTGTGTTTGATCGATATTTGATTCCGGCACTAAATTTATCGACATTCTTTTCTATCTTGCGCCAGTAACAGACGGCTGTAAGTGTGATATGGTTGGTTCACCACGTCGTGATTTGAGGAGTGATTTAACGGCCTTTTTACCTCTTCAGTGTGAAGGTGGCGGAGACGACCAACTGGGAGGTCATCATGGAGGCCAACATCGCCAAGGTGGGCGCCGTCAAGTTCTCCCCCACCGGGAAGTACCTGGGCATCTGGCATCCGTTCTTCGGTGAGCTCATTCAGCTTTGATATTCTTCTCCAGTAGGACATTTTTCATACACACGAAAATAACACCGCTTCTCGTCTAGTAAATGATCTATTTCTCGGCTATATTTTCAATATCAATGCTGCTTTTCAACCCAGAAGCGTTAATTAAATGACTGATGTCCGACCACGTATGATTTCAGTGTCAAAGGAGAATCCCCAAGGCGGGACGAACATGTACGTCTATGACGTAGACAAGAAAGAGTGCATCAAGTCACTCATACATAAGAAGTATCAGTCGTGGTGAGTTCTCGTAGTAATATCTACGAGGAACAGTTGCAAACTTTGTCAACTTCCTGTCACCTTAGCCGGAACGTTCGCTCGTTTGTCGCCCCAAAGGCGTCTCACTGGTATTAAGTTGTTTTAACTAGATGTTTTCAGTAGTCAGATGAGCACCATGTTAATTCCATTGTCGCACGGTTTTACGATCTTCATTGTTTCCTGCTTCGGTGGAGTCAACATCACTCGTCGGTTGTCTCGATCGTCTCCAGCAAACATTCCACATGTTGATATGTCCCACCGTCACCTAACTGGTCTCCGCCTTCTTCCTCCTGTGCCAGTGTCAATACCACATCGTCTACCCACGTACCCACAACACCCCTTTCCCGTACGTCCTCCCTCAGGGAGATTCAGTGGAGTCCGGACGACGCCATTTGCGGACGGAGTGTATCCAACGAGGTGCACTTCTTCGAGAACGGCCAGCTGGACTCTGTGGCGCACAAGCTGCGCCTGGAGGGACTCACCGAGTACAGCCTGGCGCCGAGCAGCCGCAACCCGCACGTGGCCGCCTTCATACCGTCCGTGGGGGTGAGTGGGGACGGGGAGTCAGAGGGATGGAGTTTGTGTGCGGCGAGGAAGGATTGCTGTTTTTTTCCTAAGGAAGGGTGGTTTTGGTTTTTGAAGGTATGCGTAGCTGCTACCTATAACACCGGCCCACCGTGAATTAACAGTGGATACCGTGAAAAATGTGATTGAACCGCAGCACCGTCTGGCTGAGGGAGATGTGTAGCTGTACCTAGCTCTGGGGCGTTATTTCGCTCGCCCGCACTTATACCGATCGGTCCAGTGCATAACGCTCCGTACATCGACTGCTGCAGGGCCGGCCGGCAGGAGCACGGATGTTCAAGTACCCCAACTTCTCAGAGGATGCCGCCGTAGGACGCAAGAGCTTCTTCAACGTAAGTATAAACGTATCACCTGGCGGGAAACCGAAAACCCTCTTGGATATCGTGTTTGTTGCGAATCTAAAGTGCTTGCTTAAGATTTTGATTCCTTTAATTGAGTTTGTCTTGCCAGGAGTAAAAAGTTCTCTAATAGCCTAACCGCTTTATAAGCTCTTTTGACGTATATCGATCAGATGTATGTGGGAGTCAGTTCGTCAGATCACCGCTGTGTTTTCGACCCTCCCTCTTGTTGACCGTCCCGCCCCGGTCCACTGACGCTGCCCCACCCACGCAGGCCAACTCGGTGGAGATGAAGTGGAACAGCCGCGGCAACACGTGCCTCCTGCTTACATCCACTGACGTCGACAAGACGGGCCAGTCGTACTATGGCGAGACGTCCATCTATTGCCTGGATACCAAGGGAGCCACGGCGCACCTCCAGCCCGGTGGGTGGTCCGTGTGTGGGAAAGAGGGAGGGGAGAAAGGGACGCTGTGCGATACAGTAACTGACTCAAAGAACAGGGAAATTCTGAGAGACGGATTATTTGAGTTTTGTTCCTGGAAAGTTGTAATGTAATGCGAATATATTTAGTCGAAGAATTACGTTTCGTGTATAGGACAAACTAGAAGTGTATATTGTGTCGCAGTGCATGCTTACCACCATAGGCTCGACCTAGACCTGAAATTTGTTAACCCGTGAGTCGGGGTTCCCGCTTCTCAATCCCTATACATCTCCAGTCCGCTGACCGCGTTGTTCGTTTCCCGTGTCCCAGGCGGCAAGAAGGGCCCGGTCTATGCGTTCGAGTGGAGTCCGCTGGGCACGGAGTTCTGCCTCGTGTACGGCTTCATGCCGGCCAAGGCGACGCTCTACAACATGAAGGCCGACCCGGTGTTCGAGTTTGAGCCGGCGCACCGGAACGCCGTGTTCTACAACCCGCAGGGCAACCTGCTGGCGCTGGCCGGGTTCGGCAACCTGCGCGGAAAGATCGAGGTGTGGGACATGGAGACGAGGAAACAGGTGGCGTCCGGCGACTGTCCGGACACGACTGAGCTGCGCTGGTGTCCCGACGGCCGCCACTTCACGGTGGCCACCTGCGCGCCGCGCCTCAGACAGGTGGGAGGGGTGGCACTGGGGACGGGGATGATGGGAGTCGGACGGACAAGATGTGAAGGGTTTACATTTAATAACGGTGTCTGCATCAGAGAGCGATGTCTGAAAATGTGTTCGGTCCAGTTATTTTGCAACAATTGAATACAACACACATTAAATTATTGACAGTTCTTACTTATGAGAACAATAGAATAACAAACAATCCGTGATAAGCTCCTTAAAGGTCCACGGATTGTTTGTTATTCTATTGTTCTCACAGTGAGATCGTTTTGTCCCCGAGTGACGCAAGGAGTATCCAATCATTTGATGGGTAATAATCGATGGCTGGCCAGTAGCCACACGGTCTGACGCGGCGGATCCTCGCGTTTCAGGGGAACGGTTTCCGCGTGTGGCACTACACTCTGCAGATGATCTACGAGAAGAACATGGCCGAGAAGCACGAGCTGTACGAGACGTACTGGCAGCCGTTCCCGAGCGGCACCTTCCCCAAGCCGGTGGTGGGTTCGGAAAAAGTGAAGGGCACCAAACCATCCCAGCCACCGCGTGAGTATTGAGGGTATTGGCGGGGTACCGAACCGTACAACCAGCTGTGGCTGTAGCACACGAGAGTGCGACTGGACAATACATTTAATGCGGGGTGTCTGTATCTTACTCTGGTAACGATAATAACATTGAAGCATCGTGTTATAAAACACAATACCGACATTTTCAATTGTCGGTCGGCGACCACCACTAGTCTGACGGTTGACCATTTGCTCCTTCCACAGCGGCAAAGACGGCATACGTGCCACCCAACATGCGTGGCCTCAGCAAGACGGGCCAGCCGGAGAGGAAGAAGGTGCTACCGCCGGGAATGAGCGAGCCTGAGCCAGGTCAGTGGTGGTTTAATTAAACTTCTCAGTCGGCCCGTCACCGTCTACCTTATACGTATTTACTGATGTGAAGCTGTGTTTTGCTCGAAATAACGCTGCGTTAACAGTTGTGTTGTCCGTATCACGTATGTCAGTACCTAAATGATCTAAGTATGTTTTTAATGTACGAGCATCCCATTGAGCCCGGATGTCAACATGTTTACACCGTTTCCAGAGAAGAAGACAAAATCGAAGAACAAGAAGAAGGGCGGCGGTGACGGCTCGGCCAAGCCGGAGTCGGCGCCGGCCGCCGAGGATGAGCCGTTTGTGCCGCCGTCTGCCGCCGAACGGACGCCCGCCCCCGCCCCCGCGCAGAGCGGACAGGCCGCCGCCAACGTCGACAGGAAAAAGAAACGGGAAAACCTGAAAAAGGTACGTTCTCGTCGATGCGTCAGGGCGACATTATCGAGTTGCCGCTGGATTGACGGGATTTAGTCTTTCAGATATACTCGGCAATGGGTTCCGATGACCACCGCGGTCCGGGCCCCCTCCTAATCATCATTGAGATCAAACAACACAGTGCAAAGTAATACTAATAGGTATGGTTTACATTCACCCAATGGACCTTTGCGCCAAAAGTTAGCTTCTACTTCTGATCCTTTTCGACCTAGCACGGAAGGATGGTTTCCCTTCTCCCGTTCCCTGTTTGTGAACAGTGTGGTGACCGTACCGTACCACCTCTTCCACCCACAGAAGCTGAAGGACATCGCAAAGCTGAAATCCGACCAGGCGGCGGGCAAGGAGATGAACCAGGAGCAACTGGACAAGATATCCCGCGAGGCAGACCTAACCCGTGAGCTGCAGGAGCTGACCGTATAGCGAAGGCTCCCGCTAGGTCATCCGCGGGGGTCGCGCCGTTCCCCCACCCCTTGTTTGATAGGATTTTATGCCGCCGCGCCGGGCGGCCGACGGATACCGGCTGTGTGCACTGTGCATTACGTCCCGCGTTCCGACGTGTTTGTTGCGTTTTTGACGGACCGATGAGGCGGGCCAATGTCGGGCCGGCGACGAATGAGGCCTACCTCACACCCTCTATACAACTTGGTAACAAAGCTGCCGTTTGCTTGGCGTGTTTTATTAGAATGAGAACAGGTACAAAACGCGACGGGCCGGCGCCGGACTGCACAGTGGAGTCGGCAGCTAAGAAGCTTCGGTATCGATGGACGGGAGATACCCGCGCGGCTTGGAGACGAAGACGGACACGGAAAGGCGAACGAGCTGAACACCTGAAACATTCAACACTCGCAACGCCGACACAGGCATTGATTACGACAGCGGCCCGTCCAACCCTCTCAAGAAACAATCATCAGTCCTTGCACGTCCTACCTCAATGCCACAGCACAAATAGTCCAGACGTGCGACGGACCGCTCACGACCCCGGCGCTCCCGTCCACCCCACGGCACAGAGACCCGGTCCGTTGGCGTTTGAGCAATCGGATAGAGATCGTTTTGTAAACCCGCGACGGCAGAACGTATCACGGTCAGGGGGCGCACCGCCCTTTACTGAAGTCCAGGTCAGCTGAATTGCCGAGCGTCGGCCCACCGACTGTTTGCACCAACATTGCATCACAACTCAGCGATTTCCACTGGCAGAGCTATGCAGCCCAGAGCGGTAAATCGTCAAACTACTGCACTTCGCCCCGCTTCAAAACTTGAAGCGCAATCACAAACCACTACGCGTACACGACACGAAGTTGCTACGAGAAAATCATGACCGCGCACGACTGATCATCAAAAGCGGTGTAAAAGTTCGTATACGAGTTAATTTGTCACACAGCGCTAAAAAAGAATGGCGAAGTGCATACACGGAAGAGTAAAACGTCACTACTGCCAGTCGCTCAAGTACCAATCCCTCTCACGTGCACTAGCTACCAGACATCTCGTTCACATCAACTGACCGCAAAACACGCAAACACTGGCCGAACTGATCAACACTCAGCCGACAGCCCTAAACGCAACACAACGCAACGCAACGCAACACTGAATGCAACTCGATCGGTCGGCCTGCCAGCCCGCGAGGCACCAAGGCCCAGTCCATGTCCACAACCGAGCACCAGCCTTCAGATCAGTCATTCCGCTGAGTACACCACAGTCCGCACGAATGCCGAAAGGGGCTTGGTGAAAGGGGCATTCATTGCAATGTCGTAATCAGGAAAGCTCCACCATCATCACTGCGTCATTGTTTAGTCTTCGTTGCTTATCACGGGGAGATAATTCGTCGGATCATCCATCGGAGGCGCGGGATCGTCCCGAGCCCGATCTACCATCTGACGGCGGCGAAACTAACTGGTACCGCGGAAAACCGCCGCTAGACGTGGCAGAGACCCGCAGTCGCAGAGCCTGTGTGGGCAAAATACGTTAATTACGGTAGACATCATGCCGTATCACCTTGTCACTACACTTAGCAGTCAAGGATTTATAATGCAGAAAACATGCATAAAAACTCGCAAGTGCGAAATGAAAGGCAGCAGCGTGTCTTGGGGAGTTGCTGGATCTCCAGTTATGGTTACTGGACACCGCATATTGTAAATGAAACGATTTACAACGCCCACTCGAGATAAATCTCCTCACTCGACACTCGAGCTTTGCTCCATTCTCGTCTGCTCAGGGGCGTGTATTACCGTCTCTCAGTCTCAGTTTCCTTGCTATTCCCGTCTCAAACTCACCTCCACAGTGCGGTGTTCGTTGGCGGGCGGCGGCGGCCGGCTGGCAGACGTCTGCGGCCGGCTCACAGCTGGCTGCGGGCGACTGGCGGGCGGCGGGGCGGAGGTGGACACGGGCGGACGGCTGACGGGGGCGGGCGGAGGTGGCTGCGGGGCGGGCCCGGGCCGGCCGGAACTGACCCCACCGTGTGCCAGTGACTGCTGTGGAACGGTCGGCGCCGGCTGAGGTGCGCTGGCTGGCCCGCTGTCGATGGAAACACTGGGTCAGCGGTGACAAAGGCCAGGGGAAGGGCGAGCAAGGGGTAGCACACAGCTGTGATGATCCGCTAGCCTGTGCTGATTTACTACAAACGTTTGCGCTGAGTTGTATATGTATTTGTGCACGGGAAGACGAATGTCATAGCATTGTCAGTCTACATAACGTCATACATACTACCTTCAGCAAATATGGAAACTTCTCGAGCACCCAAGACCGTTTTTGTAACAAACAACACAACACAAAAAGCAGCGATAAAAGGGACCACCAGACAACGCCAAAAACACGTTTTCCCAATAGGAAATTATAGGCTAGGCATGCTGACTGCATAGTGCGAGTGGTTTCATTACAAATAATTATATGCAATCTTGCACGATTCGGTTTCCAATGGAAAGTGTGCAAGACATTAGACTATCTCTCAATGTACATACACTGGTACAGGGTTTAAACAACAATTATATTTACGCACTGTGGATCGACTTAAAAGAAATAAGCAACCGACATGCAATGAAGATCTTAGGGCATTCTTCCATTCAAGCTGATAAGGACGTCCACACTAAATCAAACCAGAAACAGACCGATTTCGACAGACAACAAACAGATACACAACACAACCGTCCGACTCCGAACATTCGCGGAAGCATCCCCGTCGAGACAACAATCAAAGCCTTCTGAGAAGGAACGAACTCCAAGCTGGAACATACTTTTGCCTTACCGACTTACCTCCGACTTTGCACACAACTTGACAATCAGCAGCTAAGCCCGATACAGAAAAGCCAGAAAAAAAAATGAAAGACAAAATGTTAAAATTGGCACTGTGGGAATACAAATATTACAAAATTTGGGTGGATTATAGATGAAATACTGGCGATTCCGTCGAAGAATAACAACTACAGAGACGATGAAGTCGATTTATCTGTTCCAGCAACACAGGACGATTATTCCAAACTGGTTAAACAAAAAGTATGCAACGGATGACGAGGAGAAAATGTTGCACACTCGCCCCGCGTTCGCAGTCTCCCGGACGACGAAGATTTTACGCCGTCCGGCCAATCCCGTTCGAGGTCGACGGGGGCTGGGCCGCGGTTATCGAACGGGAATGGCCGGACGACGTGGAATCTTCGTCGTCCGGAAGACTGCGAACGCGGGGTGGATCTTGGTACATATTTTGTGAGTTGGAAGAGTAAATCATCTGATTATTCAACAAACGAATAAAAGCCGTGCACTACATATATTTCAAAGCCAGTTGCCTGATGATTGCATCAAAGACAGCGCAATATTGGGTAAACGATAACTCCAAACGTCGTTCGGGAGCCGGCCAATTCCCAGCAGGCGGCTGACCCACCTGCTCCGTCCGTTGGTCTGCGGCGGCGCTCGGGCGGGGGCGGGGGCGGGGGCGGCCGGCTGTCCTCCCTCCGTCAGCTGACCGTTCGCCAGTGGCGCAGGACGGGGCGGCGTGGACCGCAGCTGACCGAACGGTCCGCCGTTCAACTCGGCGTCTGTGAGTGGGGCGGTCACATTGTCAGAATGGGGCGGTATCTGCACTGAGCCGCCGGAGCGCACGGCCGGCGGTCCCTCTATCGAAATAACGGCAATAAATTTGAAGGGACGTCCGATAGTAAAAGAGAGGTGAACGTAACACCATCCGACTTTTAGGTAACGAAATAAAGAAAACGAGTAATAAATATTCGCCTCCTGTCAGCGCTGGCCCGAGCTAACGATTCAGAGAGCCAAGGGAAGCCTTAAATGACAACGTTTGCTGTCGACCCTGAGCTAAAACTAACCGGACAGTCAGTCCTTAATGTCGGTACTGACGGCACTGACACTATATCCCTCGCCCGGCGAGGGGGGGGGGTTGATGCAACCCCCCCTAAGGTTTTTCGCAAATAACGTTAAAACGGCGGCGCGTAGCGCCGCCAAATTTGGCATACCCTCTGGGGCAACCTTTTTACACCTTCCCTGAAAATTTCAGGTCTCTGCCGTTTCAGGTCAGGTCACCAGGTCAGAAAAACCGGTACAAGGTCATGGTCAAATTTCAATTTTCTTTATGCACCTGTCCAACTCACAGTTTTGAACTGATTTCCTTCAAACTTTCAGGATGTCCTAAGTTCACCGAGTTGTATAACATATAGTTTGTTTTTTTTCATGTCGCTGACCTGAGGTCATTACGTCGTAATGTTAAGCCTATGGGAAAATATTCAATTCGGAAAATACTGGCGATATCCGCTTCTTTCTATCACTTTGGTGCTCTGAAACAACAGTACTTAAAATTATGTCACTTGGTGCTTCTTTGTTTGGTGTACTTGTCCATGGGTCAGGTCAAATGAGGTCAACTGAGGTCAAATGACGTTTGTGCCAATAACTTGTCACACAATAAAGATAGAGCTTTCAAAATGGCATCATTCTGTTCCTCTTGAACAGCCGAGTCGAATGATATGCAACATTAAGCATTTCGACCATTATTAAGACTTAAGATGTACTTAAGATGTGCTTAACTTTTTAAGTACACTTAAGCAAGCAAACAAGTATATCATTCGACGCGCCTTGACGTGCTGAATTCACTGGTGCTTTTCTTTTTGCTCTATCTTAATTAGATCAAAAGTTATCAGCGAAAAACTTTTGGCCTGTTTTAGCAAAAATTTTACACTTATACCCCCAAAACCCTCCCTAAATATTGACCTAGAGCAACCAAATTTGCACAGGGGCGAGACCTCCTATAGACCCATCTACCCTGTAAATTTGGTGTTTCTAAGTGCCATAGGAGCCAATCGCCAGGGGGGTCGTACCAACCCCCCTCGCCGTCCGTGTTAACGCAGTTCACACTTGACCGTCAGTCTGTCGGTGTCGGGCCCGTCACCGTCGACCTGACGGCCTACAGCCCGTCGAACGAAAGTTGAGATTTGGTAGCTCCCATTGGCTGCCATATATTGTGACAGAAATGGCGCACCATTTTCGAGATTGACGCAGATGGGGGAAGGGGATGGGGGAGGGGGGAGGCCGAGAGGTAAAAAATGCTCTTTGAATTACAGAGATAAAATACTACGCATTTACATTGTTATGTCAAATATTGCTGCAAATTTATTTAAATGAAAGACACTGGTTCGCTGATTTAAGTCAGGGATCGAATCTCAAGATATCGTGCCGTAATTAACACTTTCATCTCAACAAATGGATAGAAAATGATATAAATGCTCTTAAAAATGCATATAAGCTTGATGCTGCATGAGAACATTCCTTTTCCTCTTCCTCCAACACGCAGACATTCAAACCGACGGGCCCGTCACCGTCAAAAGTTGAACATTGCTGAACTTTCCAAAGCGACGGCCGTCAGGTCCGGCGCCGGCGCAGTCAGCTGTTGCCGGCCGTCAAACGCTGCCGGTTCACACATGCCCGTCGACCTGACGGCCGTCGCTCCGTCAGATTCGGCCGTTTTGACGGTGTCGGGCCCGTCACCGGCAGACCTTACGGGCAAGTGTGAACTGCGTTTTATGGAAAAGGCCCTCGCCTGGCGAGGGATATTCTGCCACTAACAGCTTCCTGCCCTGTTACTACCGGTCTAGTATCCATCCTGGGATTCACCGGGTGCACCACACTCGCCCCAGCACTCAACGAGTGCGCCATACCCGTCCTGGAACTCACCGTTGGCGGCGGCCTGCTGCTGTCGTACGGCGGCGGCCCGCGCCGACACAACGCCCGGCGCGGCGCACTGCAGCGGTACCGAGAGACGGGCGTGTACCGCCAGCAGGTGGTCGCGACGCTGCGACACCACGCCCATATGCTGCTCCAGCTGGGGACAGAGAGAGAGAGAGGGGAGTCAGGGATAGGAGTGACTGCTAATGCTCGAAACAGATGGGCATCAGATGTAAAAGCCGGCCACACATCAGTTGCCTGAGCATTGACTAGGTGAGCATATCACGAAACCAGACCATTTCCCGGCACATTATCGGGTCTCGTGATAAACAAGCAGACCTATTATACGCAACTGCGCGATGGCATGATCCCGTCAAGAACATGGAATGACGACCATGCTTGCGCGGCGGTATATTGTAAAGGCCGCATGTTCGTTGTGTAGGCAAAAAAAACCAAACAAACCAAACCAACGCAAGAAGTGGTCGCGCTCGGGTTCGAACCGAGGACCTTCTGCGTGTAAAGCAGATGTGATAACCACTACACAACGCGACCGACGGCTGACGGGCCGCAGCAAACCAGTTTGATACCTGTTCGTTTTCCTGCCGCAGCTGATACAGGCAGCTGAGCAGAGCCGCGATGTCCATGTGTTGCGACTGTTCCATCAGGAAGTGGCTGCCCTGCTGCCACTGACGCTCCAACAGCTCCGTCAGAGAGCGGGGGAAGGGCGCGGCCGCGGTGTCCGGTCGCCACTGGGAAAACAGAGGGGACCGAGTGATCAGAAGGTGGAGCCATAAGCAACTGAAACTGAGACACGGGGCGAGACAAATGGATGACGATTGCAGACTGGCCTTGATGTTCGATGGTGTCAATCTTCATTCAACTCTAATACAAAATTGCATGAGTAAAACTCACCCCAAATACCTACCTTCACTGTTCACATTACCTACAGATTGCAGACACACACACGTCATCAACAAATTGCTCACCCAATACCCCATCCTATCCCATTGCCCACCTGTCCTGGAGTAGCGGCCATCCTCCCTGTCGGCTCCAGGTAGTCGGCCTGCTCGGCCATCTCCGCCGCCAGCGAGTCACCCAGCGGAGTGGCCGGGTTCAGGTGGTTACCGATCATGTGTGGCGCCGTCAGACCGCTCGGGGCCACCGCCGCCGCGCCGCTGACGGACAAACGGAGACACGTTATACACGCTGTACCTACCTACACATTAATGTAGTGGACGTTATACAAACTTTGCTTAGTAACCCATGGTGGCAAGGGAAATGAAAGCAGGGTGAGTTAAACACGAAATATATTAGTGATTAATTCCCAATGTCTCCGGGTTTCTTCTATAAACTCGTCCTCGCCCACCACATCATTGTCCAACACTGCATCCCTAGCGGGTCAAAAGTTTCCTAATAACGGCATCATTATTCTCCACCCATTCTAAATATAATGACTAGAGTACCCAGTCTTAGCCCAATAACCATACCCGTCGCTCCCGTCAGTCTCACCCGCACACCGTCCCCTTCCCGTCCCTCCCATCGGTCTCACCCGCCATCTCCCCCCCCCCGTCCCTTCCATCGGTCTCACCCGCGCGCCGTGGCCGAGCCGGCCGGCTGGGCGGCGTCCGTCCCCACTGCTCCGTTCCAAGTACCGTCCGCGCCAGGTTCCGGGGACCCGGCGCCGGCCGCGCCTTTACGGGGTCGGCCCGTCGCCTTCCGTTTACGGGCGTCGCCGTCAGCCGGCACGGCGGGCCGCTTCAGTGACGCCAAGTCGACATCGGCGGCCTGCTGTGGATGGGATGAGCCGGTTAGGGAGTCCTGTGAGTGACATGGGCTAACGAAGGTCGGCTAAGGACGAAACGAACAGCTTAGAGTCCCTCTGAGACCGGTCGGTATGACATCGCATTGAAGTACATTTTCTTATCTAGCCTGATATCACTATGTCGTCAACGGCCTGCTGTAGAAACGCACCACTCCCACCACAGTCGGTTTCATTTCACGTCCCCTTGCGCCAGACCTGTATCAGCGGCAACGAGCACCTGACCTATGCCTCCACCTGATCAGTGATTACCTAATCATCCAGCAGTACCCACCTGGGCGGCTGGCAGCGCCGTGCTGGTGGCCACCGGCAGAGAAGCCACCTGACCGGCGGCGCCACCGGCGGCCGGCAGCAGCGCCACCGGCGGCGGCTGCTCCACACCAGTCTCCTGCTTGATAAGGGACCCGTCCTGGCGGAGGTGGGTGCAGGGGAGCGAGGTTAGGGGAGGAGTGCGCCGTTCGGGGAGAGCGTGGGCAATAGGAACATAAACAATCATCGACGGTGTAAACAAAATCAAACAACCGTTAGCAGTGGCACCAATTGACATGATAGCAAGTACCTTTTGAGCTCGAACATATCAGTTGAATAATGAATATCCATCACGACAACCCCCAATATCAACGCCCAGCACCAAACTGAACCACGGACCCGCCCCGGACCCGGCCTCTCTGCCGGTCACGTACCCTGCTGTCGGCCGACACAGAGTCCGGCGCGCCGCCCTCCTGTCCGCCGAGAGCACGCGCTGGTGTCACCTCCCCTCCTCCTGCTCCACCTAACGAAGAGTGCACAGCAGCGGCTCCATCCATCCCCAGTGGTCCCACTGGCTCCAGCTTCACCACAGCCTGCGGGAACGGGGCCGCGCCCTGTCCGCCGACCGCCGGCGACGCGCCCACCTCCGGCGGAGAGGCGGCCGCGGCGCGCGGCGAGCGCGACTGTTTGGGCTTCTTGTGCCGTCGCTCGACGCGCGGTCCGTCACCGCCCGGCGGCGGCGGCTGCTTCTCCGGAGAGGTGTCCGGCGTGGCCGGGTCGTGACTGGCCTTGAACGCCGGGATCGGCTTCAGGTTGTGGCCCCGCTTCTGACGGAGGAGTTGGAACAGACGCACGGGACCCGATAAGCATGTGTATAGAGTTCCTCGCTTACCTAAATGGTTCAACTCCATGTAAAACGAAAAAAAACTCTAGCACGGCGTCTAATAAATTATAAGTTGGTTAGCAATGTTCTAATAACCTCAAATTACTCTGATAACGATCATTATCACACAAATAAAAAAGCCTTATATCGCCACCGCTCCTTCTATCAGTTCTACGAGCCTCTCTTCATTTCCCACCTACACACACATCACTCCACTGACCAGCTTGGCGTAGTGGTGCGGACAGTAGCCGCAGTAGGTGACGTTCATGCTCTGCACCTGCTCCTCACAGAGCAGGCCCTGGCTCTGAGCGCACGTCACGTGGAAGTTTTGTCTGCAGCCGGGCTTGTTGCAGCTCATGGTGGCGCCGGTGGTGGCGCGGCTGGTGCGGCCGGCCACCTCACACAGACAGCACGGCTGGGCGGGGGACAGACGGCGTCAGACAGCGGATATACGGCGTCAGACAGCCGACACACGACGTCAGACAGCGGCCACCTCACACAGACAGCACGGCTGGGCGGGGGATATACGGCGTCAGACAGCGGCCACCTCACACAGACAGCACGGCTGCCGCGGGGGACAGACGGCGTCAGACAGCGGCCACCTCACACAGACAGCACGGCTGGGCGGGGATACACGGCGTCAGACAGCGGCCACCTCACACAGACAGCACGGCTGGGCGGGGGATATACGGCGTCAGACAGCGGCCACCTCACACAGACAGCACGGCTGGGCGGGGGATACACGGCGTCAGACAGCGGCCACCTCACACAGACAGCACGGCTGGGCGGGGATATACGGCGTCAGACAGCGGCCACCTCACACAGACAGCACGGCTGGGCGGGGGATACACGGCGTCAGACAGCGGCCACCTCACACAGACAGCACGGCTGAGCGGGGGATATACGGCGTCAGACAGCGGCCACCTCACACAGACAGCACGGCTGGGCGGGGGATAGATGGCGTCAGACAGCGGCCACCTCACACAGACAGCACGGCTGGGCGGGGGATACACGGCGTCAGACAGCGGCCACCTCACACAGACAGCACGGCTGAGCGGGGGATATACGGCGTCAGACAGCGGCCACCTCACACAGACAGCACGGCTGGGCGGGGGATAGATGGCGTCAGACAGCGGCCACCTCACACAGACAGCACGGCTGGGCGGGGATATACGGCGTCAGACAGCGGCCACCTCACACAGACAGCATGGCTGGGCGGGGGATAGATGGCGTCAGACAGCGGCCACCTCACACAGACAGCACGGCTGCCGCGGGGGACAGACGGCGTCAGACAGCGGCCACCTCACACAGACAGCACGACTGGGCGGGGATACACGGCGTCAGACAGCGGCCACCTCACACAGACAGCACGGCTGGGCGGGGATATACGGCGTCAGACAGCGGCCACCTCACACAGACAGCACGGCTGCCGCGGGGGACAGACGGCGTCAGACAGCGGCCACCTCACACAGACAGCACGGCTGGGCGGGGGATACACGGCGTCAGACAGCGGCCACCTCACACAGACAGCACGGCTGGGCGGGGGATATACGGCGTCAGACAGCGGCCACCTCACACAGACAGCACGGCTGGGCGGGGGATACACGGCGTCAGACAGCGGATATACGGCGTCACCAGCGGACACACGGCGTGAGATGACGGACACCATCCCAAACATGGTCAGACATTTGGCCTTTAACAACACCCTCACGAGTGTATCGAAAATAGCGAATTACGACGCATACCGAACCCAATATGACATTAGAGCCGAGTGTTCAACTATTTAACATAAATCAATCCACAGCCCTAGCATTCGCATCAATCAAATGTGACGAGAATAGCCTTATCAAGCATCAGAGTACACCACGTGTAGCTGTAACATCCGCACCGTACCTTTCCGAATCTGTCAGGCGGCAGGTGGGACAGCAGCACCGGCTCCATGGTCGCCACATCTCCGAAGCGCACCTCGGGGATGTAGAGTGCGCAGACGACGTGCGCCCAGCCGCCCGAGTCGGTCTGTTTCAGCGCGCCGCCCTTCCCGGGACACAGCTCACACCGCTGCCGGACGCAGGCAGGCCGTCAGAAGCGCGATGCGAGGGGGATGGAGAGGGGGAGGGGGTGGTGGGCTACAACCAATGTCGGAAATAAGGGCCTTTGCTGGTCCCAGTCGGGTCCAAATGATTTTGTTCTCTTTTACAAATTTAACTTCGGCACCTGAAATCTCTTAATTTCCCAGCCTGTGTGATGAAAATTGATATTATTATGCCCAAAACATGCAGTCATAGCATTGAGAGGACACATTCTATCAACTGTTACATTTAGTTAGTAGGCCAAACATATGATTTTCCTGATGAGTGTCCTAACAGCTGGCCGGTTCTCCGGACAGATTTTATTTTCCGGGACCAGGACCAAAGTTCACAATTCCAACATTGGCTACAACTGAGCCAGATCGAAAATATGTAGGTTGATCAATGATCATTCTTGATTTAACAAAGGCAGACTGCATTTAAAAGTGCACCAAAAGGAAAGGAATGCACCCAAACAACTGATGGCAAAAAGCATTCACTCGGATGGCATTATTTCAGGTCTAGTCTAACACCTTCATCAGGTCTGGGAAATATTTTTTTGTGTTATCTATGGCTATCTATATATGTTCAACTGATATTTTCTAACAACTTTCAGCAGAATTTACCAAACCCAAACTTGATGCCATTACAGAACATATATGTCCTGTAGAGTCTTGTGAATAGAGTACCTACCTAGTACCTATAGGTACTAGGTAGGTACTCTATTTCTTGGTTTTAAGCAGTATACTATTCATTTTTTAGCTAAGAGGTGTGGAAAAGAAAAACCAAAACAGCTGAAATACACTACATTGTCACTAAAGCAGTAAAAAGATGGAAGGAGAAGGAAGTATCAATGCTACTTATTTGTCAAGCATTGAGATAAATCAATAGTACAGGTGAGTCAGCAGCATATCTCTGTTCATAGCCTCATACAGAACATGTGTGTACTGTGTAGGAATCATAATCTACCTGAAAGGTTGAGGGCAGCTTGAGTTGTAAAGCTGCTGTCTATTCATATGAGATATCACTAGCATTTTGTTTAGAGTGTGACAGAACTAAAATAATTAGTTACCCGAGTCGAAAGACTTACTGTAATTGCTGAGCGATCTTGTGATTCACATTTTCTGCAGAACCAAGGTCCAACTGGCACAGAGACAATTCCATAGCAGGCTAGAACAGACACCAGAAGAACACAATATCAGTGTATTTGATGCATTTAATAACTTAATTATGACATACGTAATGCAGTAACAGTTGTACTTACTGATATTTTATTATACTCTTTATATACATCCATTTTCTTGCAAATAAAAGTTTAGTTGTTTACCCCAGTGCTAATAAAAAAGCAATACCATGACTGAACCACCGATAAACAAGAACTAAAAAGGGGCGATAGAAAAAAGGTGACCCCAGCAACGTCACATTCTTCCGCATTCTGTAATTAAGGCCTCGGCACCATTGCCAGCTGCAGCATAAGCCTAACAGATCATGTAAATGGTCTGATTGATTTAATGAACCTACCTTGATGCACAGCTACATCACACCCATCACCATCACAGTACACCAAAGGGTTTTCATCCCATCCGCTCTCATCGGAGCAGACACAGCATCCTCCAACCATTTCTTTCATGTCACCCCAGATTCGCGTAGTTAGCTTTCGGACTTAGAAAATTAACATGTGGATGATGAAATAATCTGACACCAAGATGCGGACAGGGCGAGCAAATAAACGTAACACAACCAACTATCCCCCTTCAAATTCAATTCAATTTAATTCTATAATTGCTTTCTTCCCCCCACAATTGTCTGAATTCATAGGAACGTATTCTTTAGCTTGAGTGCATTACGCTCATGTACACATATTTTACTACAGGGCTATTTTTACGTTGCTGATAGAGGCAAAAACGAAAGATCGTTTTTGCAAAATTTGACTCGAATTTGAAGAAAATTTATAGTTTTAAAGTTTTTAGAACTTTGGCATCATGTAAAGCAAGAAGTAAATCATTGTGAGTAAATATATCAAGACATAAACCGTACTATGAAGAATGATCGGGTAATAAAAATTACCACTTGAACATGCCTGAAAATATTTTTTAATAGGCTGCTTTTGTTACGTCATGAGCTGCTATCAACCTATGCTATCAACCTTTCATCTTTTTTACCAAAAATAATAATGTAAAAAGAAACTAATAATTATTTTCCGTGAAAATATTTTCTTTAATGTTAATATATTGCAGTTATGAAAACTATTGCAGATTGAAGGTGAGAAAGAAAGGAATTAAGCTCGAGTTATGCATTTCTTGTCTAAATTTTCATGACGTCACATATTATCTTAGGACGCTATTCAATCTGATCCACAATTGTATAAAGCGAAACTTGCCAGCAGCAGAACAGTCTGTTGCGGTTCCGGAGCGCTGAGAAGTGGGTGGATGTGGGCTGAATGTTTTATTTTTGTATGAGTGCCACACTGCTTTGAATTTTATTAGGTACGTATTTCTGTGCATGAAGGGTATAGCTTTAAGCATATTCTCCATGCCCTATATCATTCCAATCCTATGCTGCTTATTTCGGCATCAGCATTTTCTGTCACATGAGCTCCATTGACCATTTGTATAACATCTTATTTTATTATTATTATTAACCTACCTTAAGTAAAAATCATCAGGTACCCTTCGAGTTATAAGACCCTTCACTCGAAAGGTGCACTGCCTCATCCTCTTCTGATGGAGACGAGTTGGCTGTCATGCTCGTTGTGGCCATTATGAGCGCTGTTCAGCGGCCGCCGGCCAGCTAGTACTCTTGCTGGCGCACATATACATGCTCGTTGCCCTGGCAACGGACAATTGATTAATGAAAAGCGTGCTCCGGGGGGCACAGTTACATGAAAAATCGCAGTGACGTTGCACTTTCCAAACCTCTTATTGGTCAATAGCCCATTGCCGGGGCAACCGGCACATGTGAGCGCCGGCAAGAGTACTAGCCGGCTGCCGAACAGGGCCATGAATAGCTTTATGTCCAATACTGCCGACCTTAGTAAAGCAGGTGCTTAGTTTTTATATTTATGAATTCATGTTACATGTGCACCATGGCAACTATCCCAAATCAAAATAGGAAGTGTATCTACTGTGTAACTAGGTAGGTAGGTACCTACTACCTAACCTAGCATGCCTTGGGATGGGATTGGGATAACCAATATCCAACACCCATCATTGCAGTGATATTCTGTTGACATGGCCTTGGCCCTTAACTTTTCAAATTCTTAAAACAGTGTTAAATCATTCTGATCACATATACAACAGTTTTTTTCAGTCATCTAAATCTCATGATGATCATGATCTCATGATTTTGACCAAATGCTGAGTGTGGTGCTCTTTTTAATAGGTACTTTAATGAGTGTTTCAATGGTGTCCAGCTGCATCTCAATCTGGCTATTTGTACCTTCTGAGCCAAGATTATGTTTAGAGCTATACTTCCATTGGTGCCCAGCCATTCTCGAGATCTGGAAGCGCCCCCTGCACATGCGTACGTGCGGCAGCACCCTAACCGCAACACATGGGAATGCATTGCTTGGTGGGTGCCTACCTGTATGCCAAGTTTCAGCGAAATCGCCCCAGTAATTACCGAGTTATTGAAGTGGGAACAAATTTGGCACCTCTTCTTTTTGCTTTTTTTTTGCACGTGCAGTTGGGGTCACTCACATAGATCAAGAATATCCGACCTTTGGTAGAAGGGATGCAGCTACCCTACAAAAATTTCCTCAAAGCAATCGCCCGAGCGGCTGCTGAGATATGAGCCTCTCAAAATTACTGCTTTTGCAAAACGGCTTGAACACCCTTGACCATAGACCACTATATACCTATATAGTGGTCCCCTATATAGTGGTATATAGTGGTCTATGCCTTGACTTTTCACGTGGCACGTGCCATGACGGTCCCTGAAATGTATCGAGAGTAGTAAATTACGGGATAGAAGGAAGAAGACTACCCAACTAAAAAGACTGCAGGCAAATCAGTTCAGCGGTTGTTGAGATATAAGCCTCTCAAAAGCGTTACAGACCGGGCCGGGCCGCTCATACTGAGATGTTTCCGTTATATTGAAAAGACTTCGCTTCGCTTGCTGCGCTCGCTCGCTCGTAATAATCATAGAAGGGATCAGATCAGATATCATGGAACATCAGGCTACAAGCTCTCACTAAATGGCTCTGTTGTACTGCGGGAATCGTAGCTGCAGAATACAGAACCGACTAGGGTTTTGAAACCCTTGTTGGTTCTGTTGACGGACTGTTGCGAGAAAATGACGTTATAACAGGACACGCATGTCGTTATAACACCATAGATGTAATGTGAGAGACATCCTATAGTGAGCAGCGCACTTTCTCATTAGTTATACACATACTGGACGCTGCCCTGGCCTGAATGGCAGCTTCAGATGTGCGTATTGGACCGTGAGGTCGTTACGTCTGCGAAAATGTCGCCACTCCAAATTAGCTCTCGGCCGTTTTCCCGTTTGCCGGTACCGGAAGGCAGCAGAGTGGCTGTTTGCGGCGTCAGTGACCTCGAGCTGTTTGCGTGAGTCGTATGGTGCAGATGGCCACCCACTTATCAGGCCAGCGCGCGCTCGCCGCAGGGCTCTGCAAAACCAGAGCGGTTTGACCTCGGCCGTGACGTCATCGCTCAACATCCGGTCTTGACGGCACGGAAGCAGCGGCAGTGAGCAAAAGGCGGCTACAGACAGCGCGCGGGTGATAAAAGTCATATGCTGGCTGCAATGTGCAGGCTCAGTCGATGAAACGGATGAACCGAACTCCTTAGCTAGCACAACTTTGAAGCCTAGTTGTAAAAAAAAAAACTCAGCGACGTGTCAGTGTGAGCAGCGTTCCGGTATCCGGCGTTGTCTCAGCTGCGCTCACCTCATGAACGTGATGGTGTCTTGCTGCGGTCACCTCATTACCGCTATGGTGTCTGATGTGGTCCCTGGTGACCGCCGCTGCCCCCCCGCTCACTTGCTCCGTGTTCTGGAGTCTCGTGCTTTGCTGCCAACGGACAGGAGGCTTAATCAGACAGAAGATAACCAATGGATTAGCGCCGTTAAATTTAATGGAATGCTTACGTTCTAGCATACATCTCTTAGTCTCGGCTGTATTGTTCCAGTAACTCGACTTTTCTAGTAATTCCAGCTGCATTTTCATGTGTAGTTGGAAAGGATAACCTCTTCAGCCCTTTGAAGCCGTAGATACATTTTCTTCTGATCATCTGATCGTGTCTAAAATATAAAATGCTTATAAAGGGCCACACGAAATGAAAATAGCCATTGTTGCAGGAGGCAGGGCTATCAATCTGGGCTCTGACGCAGATAGCCGAGCTCACGTCCTACCGTTCCCACGTGAGAGGGAGGGAAGGGGGGGGGGGGGCTTCGAGAAGGTCCGGCTTGAACGCCTACTCTCGACGCCATCTGCGGTTTTAATCTATCTATTCGGCTGGAATTTTCCTTTATCGTCCTCATATAAATCGGTTGGGCACATGAATTCGTGATGGGCGTAACAGACAGATCGCACGATTGATCGATAACTTGAACATTATTTGGCGGTGAACCGTTGTCGTGATATGGATAAAACATGCAAATTATTCGTTCCGTTATCTTGTTCCAAGCACGAGTCTGTCTCGCAGTCTGTCATTGGCGCACGGACCGCTGACCACTGGCTATGACCCTGAGCTCTGTCATACCGACAGACAGTGTGTGTGCATCACTGTCTGTAGCTGTACATGAAAGTACCGCGCATCGGTGAGGTGGATCCATCTAGCCCGACCGAGGAAAAGCTGCTAAATTTGAGAGTCGCTGAACCAATTGACATCCTCATCCATTCTACTGGTTAATTGGTTCAGTATCTCTGAAAGTTGGCAGCCCTTCCTCATTGATGGATCCGCTGCACCGATGCGCGGTACTTTTAACTAGACTAACTGTACAGTATGTAGCTGGTGCTGTTGTTGTTCTCGTTGCTGTCGACTGTAACGCTGTTCTGTACCGGCAGACGGCGATGAGCGTCAGGCCGGCCGGCGAGGGGGTCGCCGAGGAGGGCGGGGAAGACGAGGGCGAGGAGCCCGGGGCGGCCGCGGCCGGCCCCTCGCCCGCCGATGAGTCCTCCGACAGTGACGGCGAGACGGAGCCGGCGCGCTCCTTCCACCGTAAGATCTCCACCAACAAGGACATCAAGTGCTCGGTGAGTCGCCGACTCGGCGCACTGAGGGATGGCACTAGCTGCAGACCGGCAGTATTTCTATGCATGGTGTGATAATGGCCGTCACCGTACATTAAACATATTCATATTGATGATAAAGATGGGAGGTGCGAAAAACGCTCACATCTGCCTGTGAGGTGATTTGCCTCAAACGTGTGATATTCGATCATCCGTCTGCAATTACCTGCGTTTGGTGAGTACAAAGCTCCGACTGTAAATACCCCTGCCACCAGGCGTGAACGGGAAATATTCTGCCGAGTTAAGATGGCTGCCAATCGCGCAGTTATTAGGTTTTTGCTAAGCCGACTAGTATTGGCGAATAATCTCGGAATATATTTGAAAATTTCATTCCGGATGACTCATCCAATTCGTTATTTTAGCTCTTTTTAACGCCTTTCTATCGTGTGTTCAGAAACATATGAGATGGGTCTGGTCGTATTGCCCTCTACTTCTCGCAACGTATCGTTCCATTTTCGTTTTTCCGGTTCTGCGCACCGCGCTGCCGCCCGCATCGTCTCTCTCCATCGGCCCTGTGTGTGATGAGCGCTGACATATGAGCCGGTATCTCCCCCCCCCCCCACCCCGAACGACCTTGGCCCGGCCCGTCCGTGCAGTACCCCTCCCCCTTCTCCCACCGCGGCCGGGACGCCTTGTCTGACTGTCTATCGGGAACATCGTGTCACGCGCACCGGTGCCGGTCGGTTTCCGGGACGATGATACCCCCGCGGTTCGTGGGATGTTTTACGTTCCCAGAGCCAAGCTGCTTGCCGGCTCAACGGTTGGCAAGCTGCGGAGAGAATCACGGGTGCCGAATAGTTCCCTTGCTACGATGAACCTTCTTTTGATGTTTAGGGAAATTTGAAGAAATTTAGTTGTCAGAGCGGACGCGATAGTGTTTTGTTTGTTAGTATGCCCGTCGTTGTTAAACAGCGCCAGGAAGTCATTTTTTTCGTCAGATGTCACCGTTGATAGCCTGGCACGTTTTTCCATGTTGCATTGTTCTGATCAGTTCTGATATCCCCCGAGCCCCGCTGTGAGCGATACTCTTTGTATGCCGTTATCAGATCCAAGCGGTGCGTCACTGGGGACCCCTCCCGTTGGGAAACACCGCAACAACACACTGCTAACCTATATATTGTTCACACACAATGGCACACGTGACGTAGGTCTTGTTATAACTTTACACGTATCATTCCCAATCGTTTGATATGTATATTGACTAGTTTTGACATGGCCGGATTGACCTTAGGTTAAGGTTTACATTGAACTTTCATCACACACTGGATTGCTTTCACTGGATAGCCTAGGTGAACAAAGAAGATTACTTTTATGGCAAAATTTCCTAAAATGAATCAATCATAGACTCTGGACATTCATCGGCCCACGTCGGATATTGATGAAAGCCAGTGCGAGAAGTCAGTCCTTGAATCTTTGTTACACTAATCTATGGAACCTAAATGATTGAAGAGCCTCAAGTCGCTTTAAGCGTTCTGGGCACCATAGCGGTTTGCATTTTTACATTCCAAGTCCGTAGGCTTAGAATCGATAACATTGTTTTCCTGATGGGCGCCGATGACCACTGTAGTCCAGGCGTCCAAAACCCCCAATTCATCATCATCATCATCATCATCATCATCATCATCATCATCATCATCATCATCATCATCATCATCATCGTTTTCCTGAGTACATACCCACTGACGAATAGTCAACCGAGTTTTCACCACGGGTCCTAGATAGGTCAACCTATCTCGCATTTTGTGTTGTTAGGATATTGATGAAAATTCGGTATGCTAGCAGGCATAGGTATACATCAGTTGAACAGGACGGTATAATTCATATCCACCCACCAACCACAGCCGCTCACCCCATGTTGCATAGTTCTCAGTCGCGAATTATAGGACGTTTACACTGTGTAGTTCGGGTTTTCTTCCGATTCATTTTTTTTCATGCATTGGAAGCCCTCGGTGTTCTAGTAAGATGTATGTTTTGTGATGATTTGAACCTCTCTTAGTTCTTACCTAGATCTTACCTAATTGTTACCTGCGTACCTTTTCAGGTGTGTACAAAAGAGGGGTACCTGATGAAACAGACATCTTCATTTCAACGATGGAAACGGAGATATTTTAAACTCAAAGGCAATAAACTCTACTATGCAAAAGATACGAAGGTAAGAGCAGACCATGCGAGTCCGAAAATCAGTCTATCAGCGCCTATCCCGCCTATCCCGCCTATCAGAAAATCAGCGCCTATCCCGCTATAACTAAAAACGCGGCCGCCTAGTCGTAATGGGATGTATTTCAGACGAACGTAACTAAACGGGCAACGGGAATGTTGTAAGGGCGTTATCAATGGGCGGTTCAGGATATTACCATTATACCATGGACCATCATTCAAACCATATTCAATACGCTCGTGCAATTCGCTACATATTGCACTGACGACTCAGCGTTTTACGATATCTATTTTAGTGACGTCCGATGTCCGGTTTTGTCCGTGTCCTTTCACACGTCCGGTTGGCGGATGTGGTGATTGACGTGGTCGCTCGGCCCTCGCCGGCGGGTTACGTCGATGACTAACCGCTGCCGGGTGACGGCGCACCGGGTACGGGTGTCAGCGGCGGCCGGCGGTGAACGCTGACCCAACCCGCCGGCGTTTCAGTACGTCGTGTTCGACGAGATTGAACTCACGGACCTGAGCATCGCCGAGAGCAAGACGGGTGGGAGTCACTGTTTTCAGGTGAGACGCGCGGCATTGATGCTGCCGATCAACTTACAAGTGCCATAGGAAAAGTTCTGCGCTGCCATGCTTTAGTTCTTACTCCTCAAAGTAACGCTTGACGTTAAGAACCGGAACATGCCTCGCACTTCGCAAGTTATCCATACCTGTGATCACCGTTTCTGACGTTGTCATTCACGTCAAAGTCACGCCACCAATTCTAGTTTTATGTCTCGTGTTCGCTCTGCGTGCGGCACCTCCGCCTTTTCTTCCAATCACGCACGCACGCTGCGTCGCGGAGCCAATCAGGTCGGCCGCGCCGCCGGCGAATCGTCGGCTCCGACGACAGAGTCATCGTCGCCGGCGGCGGGGGGTGCCGAGTGTGGCGGCGGCGGCGGTCGGCGCTGGACCGTCTGACCGCGCCGGTGTGCCCCCCAGGTGATCACCGCCTTCCGGTGCCTGACGCTGCGGGCAGAGACTCGGAGGCAGATGGAGGAGTGGACGGCGGCGCTGAAGAGCGCCAGCAAACGACAGTTTTATGAGGTGAGTGGGCGGCCCGGCCGGCCAGCTCTGTGTGTACTGGCGGCTCCGTGTGTACTGAGGGGATTTATGGATGCCGATGGAAATCAGAACGCAAACGAGTGCATGGGCCGGGTCAGGATGTGTCCACAAGTGTGTTTGTGTGGAATTTAGATCAGCCAGCCTGGCTTATTTGCTGTCACGTTGCGAAGAGTACGAAGAAATGACGGTAGGTATGGAATTGCATAGTTGTTTCCGCATCATTTGCTTTTTCGATTGTGCATGCTGTCACACCAAGTCAAGACTGATAAGCAATAAAGAAGTAAATGTTTTAATGAAAGGAAAACGGATCCTTAGACCGGATGGCTTTTCGATGATCCCGCATTTTGTTATGATATGGTATGCTGTGCTTTGCGGAAGCAACTTAAACAAACGTTTTTAAATCTTCGAATGTTATATTCTGTCAAGGACTATTTTAGCTGATTTTTCTTTTTGTGTTCATCTTGCTTTATTTTGCATAAGAATAATCAACGTAGGATGCCAACTCGTTTAATACGTTTTCAAAACTGGAAGAAAAGCTTGCAATATTTCGGAAAACTGATGTTGGTTCGGGGACAAACTACGACTATGTTACCTGGAACATTCTGCAGGTGAATTATTTGTTGTAATCGAACCCTCTGCAGTCTGCACATAATCTCGTGCCCAAGAACCTCACGCCATGGTAACGGAGCTTACAGAGTAGTCAGTAGACCAACGATGACTTTGATGCCTCCTTCAGACTGAATCTTTGCATTTTGTATCTTTCGATAGTAATTTCAAGTAAGCGCATGGTAAAAATGGCATCATTATGTACACCGTATAGTTATTAATTAGCATTCATCGCAGAAACTATGTACAATGTGTAAGGCAACGAGTCATGGCATACATTGTAAAGGCCCGAAGCTTTCATCGCAGTCAGTGTACTGATCGGAATCCGTAAATATGTAGGCCCAGAATGTTAGAGTCGGGAAGTTTTTTAGTCACTGTTGGAGCATTTGTCCTCCTCAATTCGTGCAGTGTGTTCAGAACTGTTTCAAACTTCAGCTCAAAATAGAGATCACATTTAATACCATTGGCCGTGCTTTTTCGTCTATACCTGCTGGAACAGTCTCTGTTGCCCGGTGAGTCGCTTCGATGCGGTTTTTAGTGGAGAAAATGTGTCAGTGTCACTGGAACGGGCCCAAGTGGCATAAAGACTTTGCTTCAGTGACAGTTCAGATCCTGGAAGGCTATGGTTGTTATGGTATCGATGTTTAATTTTGATATTAAGTTGTTGTTTTTAGATACCCGTTTGAAGCAGAAGCTAAAGCCAGATGTTAGCCTATTAGACATTAAAGGTTTCATTGATCTTTTTTTTATATCGTCAATTGAAGCGTTCATCAATGCTACTCCCGGATGTCTGTTCGAGTTTACGGAGATCTCTAATGACGAGGTGTCGTCTTTCTTCCGAGTACTGTCAGCTATCGGCTCTGATTATTCGCGTATCTCGCCGATCCGATCCCGGATGGCACTCGCTCGCGCGCCGCTCTTTATAGGGCCTTGGACGGTCAGTGGGACTGCCCCTCCGCGCGCCGCGGCGGCCACTCTAATTGAGCGTCGGGGGTGCGTGACGTCAGCTGGGCTAGTGCGACGATTGTTTTATTGTATTTCATCTTTTCGGACCTTGACAAGAACTTTTCGGAACGTGGACCGTGGCTGATCATTGGCGCGGGATAATGACTGATAGATGTCGACTCACACGCGGACCCCGGGATTATTACGCAGCTCCGTATAGTCCTTCCAGAGTGTGCCGCGGTGTCGGTTCATATTACCGGTGATTGCCTAACATATCTGTCACACTACCGTCGTGGGTTTCGAATTGTCACCTGAGGAGGGTGTCCTCTGTTACCTTCCCGTGCTGTCGCGGAAGGAAGTCACCGTGCCGGCGATCGGTTCTAGGTCTAAATCGGCCCATCTCGCCCCTAGTTATTGTCAGCACAGGTCGGTGCACATCGGCTTTGAGACGCTGGCGAAGATCAAAGTGTGGAGCCGGTGCGCCCTGGCTTATACCGGGCCAAACCGGTATGCTACTGAGTGATTTGGTACGGTAGACAACAAACAGTAGGGCTTATTGCTCATCTGAAATGCAGTGGTGGAAGCATATTGCCGAATACCGGAAGAACAATATGTGCTTATAACTAATGCGGAAAATATATTGTGGTGCCAACTTTTTGCCGCAGTACTGTCGGCCAATCATATCGCATATGTGGGATACGGATCTAACATAACTGAATTGAGCAACGAACACCATCGGGAAGTTTCCAATGCGTCTGTTCGAATTGGTCACGCTGATATCCGTGTCCCCGATATCCATTATTGCAATTGGATTGTGACAGTAGATTTGGCTATACCCAGGGGGCAGGATCACACTGCACGCGACTCGTGCGTGAAAGGTCGCCCGTGTGACTACCGCATGCCGCTGGCCTCTTTACGAACGATCCGCTTAACTCAACCCCTCCACCCCTCACCAGTTTCGAACCATTTGAGGTCGGATCATGCGAGGCAATAGCGTGTGTCTGTGCCCGAAATAGCCCAAACGATCTCAGTTCGTGCCCGAAAAAGACGGCTCGGTGCACTCTGACATAGGTGAGTGCTTGCCGGTCGGCTTACACACACTTTGGGTGAACCGACTTACGTTTGAGAACCGTTTTTAACTTCGTGCGGGCCGGTGAGGAGCGTATGGGGTGAGCACCAGCTGTGGGTGAACCCACCTGGTTCCTCAGACCGGACTGTTGGACTGTTGCATGTTGATAACATTGTGTAATATGACTTACAATACATGCGATATGCATGTAATGCATGCAATATACTATGTGACTTTGACGGGAATGTGACTACGATGGAGACTATGAGACCACTGCGACTGAACGGCTGTGTCTCTCCGTTCGCAGGGCATGGACCATCTTCACTCGCTGCTGTCGGGCCAGCACAACTGGCATGTCATGTCACACGCCCGGCCGACCTATTGCAACGTCTGCAGAGAGGCGCTATCAGGTCAGTCAGCGGCGCTTGTTCTCATGTTTGATATTCCTGTAAATTATGCTGTTATGCCGCATATCGTCCGTGCTGGACTGAGTCTAAATAATGCTAAGGCTTTTTCGGCTTAGGGAGATTCCCTTTCGTTGACTCAGCCTACGTGGAAAAGGATAATGTTTGGTCCGGATAGGCAATGCAGCTCATTTGCAGCTGCCTGACGATGATGCTTGTTCGTGGTTTGGCCGATCCGGTACGATTACAGTCCCAGGGACACAGGATCCCCGTCCGCACACTCACAGAACGATGCTCAATGCTCATGGGTCCGGCGGCGGCCACGCACCCGTCGACGGTACGACATTGGAGCGAGGGCGACCCCCTAGCACGGCGCCACATCGGTCGTCGCTTATGACTGGGCACACATTCACCGGGGCCGGGCAGGGTGTAGGTTACATTACGCACAGTGGCGGTCAGTGGGGCAGGGCGGCGGGCGCGGATATCCGCCCGGTCGCGGGGCCAGCTCCGGGTTCCGCCCCTGGGTTATCCCCGTTACGTCACCGCTGTGCCCCGCCCTCTCTGCTGCCGGTGAGAGCTGCACCGTGCCTGTCCCTCTCCTGTGGCCTTCAGTCTCCCCCGCACCGACCGACCCCCGGAGCCGGATCACCGCGCTGCCCTAACGGCGGCCCGGAGTGCTCCTCTACTCCCTCCCCCGGCTCGTCACCCGCCGACTGAGGTCGGAGGTTACTGCCCCAGGGCCAACGACTGCTCTGTGATGGCCGGCCGTTAAAATTCCCTCGGCGCGACACACGGCCGGAAATCCGCAGACATGAAGCCACTCGGGGGATTTCCGGTTTATGACGCCGCCGACGTGACTGGAAGATAATGTAGTGCCGCCGCACAGTCATCGGCGGGCGGCACCGGTCTGAGAGACCGCGCGGAAACCCACAGACACACGACGAGCGGTGTCGGCATGTCGGCACCGCTAATTTTTAGACTTACGACAACTCAAAACTGGTCAGTTTATGAATAAGATTCCTCATAAAAGCTGCCGGATGGACTCATGAGATTAGTGGCACCGGGACATCGTTCTTCGATTGAGCTATGAAGCATGTGTCCTTGTTTTTTCTGATTCACATCTTTTTATCGGGCACGCGGTTGCTGTTATCTCACGTCCTTTCTACCAATTCATTCCACTTTCGGTCTCTTCGTCTGATCCTCCGCGTTTTTTCCTGTGCTCCTGTAAGTCGGACGCTTATCCGGTCTTCCGCCATTCCGTACTTTTCCTTGTCCTTTCCTTTTCCTCCTTCTATTTGTCACCGTCGTCCTTCCGGCTCCCGACAGCAGGGAGCCAATATTCCGCCGCGCCAACTCATCCGGCGTGTGTACCTTGTTACCGTGTGGCTGCCACCGGCAGACAGACCGGCTCGCACTGGTCTGGTGCGGTGCTGGGTACTCTCTGCCCCCAGCACGGCCCCCGACCCATGGCCGACGACCCAGCCGATACGCTCGACCTAATGAGCAGAAATTGGTGGTACCGCGCTACCACCGCGGCCTGGCCAATAATAGGAGCAGAGGCGGCGCTGTGCAGACGCTGACTCGGCGAACGGCGCGGTCTGGGTGTAGGAGGCAGTGGTAGGAGGATGCAGCATCGTGCTGTGTTTCACCTAGGAACAGCACCGGTGTGGTCAGACTAAGCGGGCGCTGATGCTGACTGATCCTGGGCTACCGTTCGGGGCGCGAATGGTCTGCAGGATAACGACGGACATTGCATCCGTCGAATATGGAATATTGATGCACTATTGCTACCGATGGAACGTTAATTGGTCGATGTGTGCTTCATTTGTCGTGTTTCTATGTTTCTCTTTCTCTGTTCACTGTCACCACTGCAGTGGTGAGAGTAAAACAGACCGGTGCGCTGACCTGTTCGGTCTGTGTGTACTGTGTAACACAGGCCAGTGCACCTGCGTTCCACCCACGTCATCATCCTACTTGTCCTCGGCTTATTATTCCGGCGCTTTCTAACCATCCGTTGTTTACGCTGCTGTCCGTTGCAGGGGTGACCTCACACGGACTCAGCTGTGAGGTCTGCAAGTTCAAGTGTCACAAACGATGCGCGGCGCACGAGTCGACGCCGTGCAAGTGGACCACACTGGCCAGTGTCGGGAGGAACATCATCGAGGAGGAAGACGGGGTGAGTGCCGACCGACAGGGACGGGACACATTATAGGCGGCGACGCCGTGTTGTCGGAAGGTTTACCCGTTTATATCGTATGGTTAATTACTAGAAATATTTAGTTGAAGCTGCTTCTCAACAATTTTATGGAAGGTGATGTTTGACAACTCGTCCGTTATGGCATGAATGTGTGAAGAACATGACTATATTGACTATGTCTTCGGAACATTTCTCAAGACCACCGCAATACCCACGGCGCACGAGCATCGGTCGCAGTAGACTCGCGACCAGTGACAATGATTTATACGGTCTCTGTGGTGGGCCACCATAAGCCAGAGTCCCCAGAGAACTCTGATGCTTTCTCCGCACCATTACTGCAGTGTTTGTTCCGTGTTGCTGTGACCCTCTGTCTGTCCCCGGAGGTGTCTGTCCCTAAAGGTCTGTCTGACACTGACTCTCCCTTCTACCGCCAGACGCTGTCAATGCCGCACCAGTGGCTGGAGGGTAACCTGTCCGTATCCGCCCGCTGCATGGTGTGCGACAGGACCTGTGGCTCCGTACTCAGGTGAGAACTAGCAGGGTTCTCAGGGAGGATGTCATCTCCCGACGACAGAACTTGTAGCTCCGTAATTGGATGAGGAAGAACAGGGTTCTCGGGGAAACATTGCTTTCGGGCTCAGAACCTGTGGCTCCGTGCTCGAGTGAGAATTTTCCACTGTCCAGCCAATAGCCAGCGCCGGTCAAACTCCCAAAACCGTGAACCACCGCTCACTTCTTCATTTTTGGGACATCAACGCCAGCAGTGCTCTACACCCGGGTGGGGTCGGCTTTCCTAGAGTTCTGATGTGACATTCTCTACATATGCTCCTCGATCTATCGGGATGATCTAAAGGCCATGGCCGGTCTCTGTCCCCGGTCTCTCGGGATTGATGATCTTAGGTCACGGCCGGCCCTTTACTCCCCCTCCTCCTGAATCTCTCAGGATGGTCTCTCAGGTCACGGCGGGCCCCTGTTCCCAGACTATAGGGATGGTATCTCTCAGGCCACGGGGGCCCCTATTTCCCCCGCTCCCTGGTCTCTGGAGATGGAGGGCGTCGGACCCCGTTACCGACGCGTCAGTCCACACACCACTGCGTAATCGATGACGTACTGCAGTGGCCACCGGCGCCACAGGCAACCATTGCCAACGAGATGGATCACTCCATGGCACCGTGAGAGTATTCCCGATATGCATCCAGTATACATAGCTTATGTATTTTTTGTTTTTTTTTTATAAAAATAATAATAGTGCAATTAAGACTAAGAGTGAAATGATGGTATTCATTCCCCTAATTTGCTTACCGATATTTTTATACGCATACATTTCTGGAATTATTTCTTTTTTTTATTTATCTGCTTCTCCCCGCTTCCAAGAGAACACAAACATCCCCCCGTTTGTTCAACATCCCGTCTGTAAACTGCACTAACGATGGTTGCCGCCGTGCCGCTCCGGCGCCGTCTGAACACACTGAACAGAGCTGCTGTCCTAATTGTTGCACTGACGTCTGTCGCCCGAGGGGGATCAGGTTACCGCGGAGGGGCTGAACAGTGTACCGGGGAGGGATGGCCAGGCCTGAACACTGCCCACTCGCCGTAATAGCCTTCCGGCGTGACGTGTTCGCCGTAACAGCGGCTGGGTGCGGCGGGCAGACGATCTGAGATCGGTGGGATCGGATCGGGACGCGGGGTGACGGCAGCGGTGCTGGGCTCAGGTCACGCAATGTCTAATACTACCGACCGGTCAGTGGTCGTGTGTCAAACTATGCCGCGAATAGCCAGCGCTACTCGTACATTGTGACTGATATAAATGCTGGCTTTACTTTGGTGGGATGATTTCAGCTGACGTTACGAGTAATTGAAGTCTGAAGACCCGGCTTCATGCTAAGGTTTCACAGGAAATGATTTTTACCGTCGACATAGTCTCGATTGTTTTTAGACGTTCTAAAATAGCGCACTTAAATTTGCGAACACATGAGCTACTGTTGAGCGACGTCCCTGCGCTGTATGCACGGTCCTCCGACCGCTCGCCGCCCGCCGACCGTCCCACGTGGACGGACGTGTGCACTGTGCACTCAGTGGTGTGCACTGTGCAGTTGTGCGCCCATGCAGTCAACTGACCAGTTGACCAGTGTCGCTGGCCGGATGTGAGATAGGCTCGGGTCACCGCAGCACAGTGTCCGGCATAGTTGGTTTGACTTCTTTGACCGTGTTTAGTCAGCGTTAGAGATCAGCCTGGGGAAGGCCACCGGGAAAGTAGTGGAATTACATATTCGGATCAGAAACGGAAAGATGAAAAGGAACAAGCATTACAGTGGCTGCCAGCTGCTGCTGTTTTATAAGTGAATGTTTTATGCGACGGGACAAAAAAGTCGGCAATTGCGCAATGCTCTCAGATCTGTTCTAGTCTTATGTCTGGACGGACCAGATAATCTTGCCACATCTCAATTTCTAAGAAACAGCGCCGCAGCGGAAATGTTTTTCCTCCATCGTCATTATTTTTTTAGATATGGGTACGACGAGATAGGCGCGTCTTTGCTTACAGTATCGCTGTTCTGATTTCGAACAGGATCCGCTCCTGCAGCCGAGCACTGCCGGGTCGGCCGGGTCGGCTGCGTGTCCGATTGCCCCCGACCCGCGGACACACCCCGCGGCGCTGGCCCGTCCATTAGGGCCGGTGACCCGACCCCATTGGCCCAGTTCTGCCGGGCCGTCCATTCGGTCTGAGTGGTCGTACGCGGCTGGATGGACGCGTCGGTGGGCCGCCGAGAGGGGGGTCGCTACACCAGACGGGGCGGCTCGGCTGTACAGGCGGTGTGAAGTGCCGATATGCAGGCGGGTTCACTGTCCGGAGCGGTCGGACGCTCTGATTAGAGCCAGTAAAAAGGCCTAGAGTAAAACAGGTAGCTGCACTAAGGCTTTGGCCGCTCACGCGTTGTCTGTATCGGGCGGGTTGAAGGGGCGGGCGAAGTGCGGACTCGGTGAACTTGCCACTGACCCACGCCCCGCCACTTGTTGCGGTCGGCCGTGGCGGGGACGACTGCCAACTGGCGGCCTTGGGCCTGACCTCCGGCACATGGGAAGTCCTGATCGATCCTCGGTCCCCGGCCCGGCCCGGGCCGGGTCGGCCTCCTCTCCTCCTGCTGTGCCTCTGCACCGTCCCACGCCCTCTGCCTCCGCCGCGGGCCGACATCAGATCAATGGCAATGTGCGCTCCACCACCCTGGATGTTTTGTGTTTTTGTCGCGTTTTTATTTGCAAGCACGTTAAATAAATTCCCACCGTGCTACCATAATGTTATTCTAACATTATTCTTATAATATTTACGTTATAATTATTTATTACACGATGTTGCCACTAAAAACATTTTTACATGTAACACAGTTGATTTCATGCATGTATTGCAGCTTAGCTTCGTACCTAATGATGCTTTTCCTCTTGCCATACAGAAATCACGTGTATTGGCGGCTTCTCAACACCTTGTTATTTATGATTATCTCTTCCTTTCCCTCTGCCTCTACCTCTCTCGCTCTTACTCTCTCCCTCTCCCCTCCCTCTCCCTCTCCTGCCTGCCGTTGATGAGGTGTGGTCCAATGGACCGAGCGGTCTGCCGCCCCCGAGCAGCTAACGACCTGCTCTGGGCCTCTGTCGGTGCCGCCCCGACCGCCTCCCGCCCGACACAGACACCGCTGTGTGCAGTGGGCTGAGTAAGAGGCGCTCGTCGCCAGGGCCCCGGCACGGCGCTCGTGTGCCAGTGTCAGCACCAGCAGCTCATTGTCGCGCTCAGGTGTGAAATGCCGGTTACCGCGGTGCGAGGGATGATTCGCCAGGTGGGTGCGGCTCGATGCGGCTGTATTGCGCTGCAGGTGGAGGGCTTTACCTGGACCCGCTATTCATTAGCTCGTGATCGCGATGCGCCGCTAATCTCCGGCGACGGCTGGGTGCGGTAAGCCGTCGTATCGAACTACGTATGCTAACTGATGCGCGATTGCTGCGTGCGACTCGCATGCAGTTTCACGAATATTCTCCACTAAGAATCATTACACTTTGGAACACTAGAAACCGGCACCTCGCCTGATCGCACATGTTTCCGGTGAGGGTCTTAGCTAAGCTGAGATTCAATCACCCCTGTAACGAGACGGGACCGGCGGTCTGTGCACAGGTGTCAGGACTCGTGACGGGCGGCCCCTGAGACTCGTTATAAGATTGGGATTGATTTATAAGATTTGGCAGTGCGCATTACTCCACTGTACTCAAAGACAGAGATCTCCTGTTGGCTGTTGCATATGGGTTGACCGGCCGTCTGCGCTGTAGCCCCATGTCTCTGTCAAGCGTCACGTCTTCCCATGTTTGGTTGTGTGTTCTGTCGTCTGCTCTGTTGTCTCCTGCGGCCGCTGTGCTCCCGCCGTCCTATGGCGCTCGCACAACTGCCGAGTAAGTTTCTGTGTGCTTCAGGCTTCATGACTGAATGCTGAATAGTGCTGTCTGTTGAAGTTATCCGGAGCTGACAGACGTGCCGTTGTGTTTCAGGCTGCAGGACTGGCGGTGTCTCTGGTGTAAGGGCACCGTGCACGCGGCCTGCCGAGCCACCGTACCGGCGCTCTGTCCTCTCGGAGTCTGCAAGGTGTCTGTGGTGCCTCCGATCGCGCTCCACAGCATAGGTGAGTGCTGAGTGCCTCCCTGCGCTCAATATAGGCTACTGCTAACCAGCTACCTGTTGCTTGATAAAACACCCATTTGTCATAATTTACCGTGGGACTGTCCGTATTTTGGTATTTCAGGGAGCGCGTTTTTTCGTGTCGATGTTTTCTTGCGGTTTGTGATTTATGGTGAATGATAAGGACGCCGGCGTGATTGTTCCCATTTGTCGGGGTCCATTGTCGGCCGCCGGTATTGACAGAGGACCGCTCACCGGAGCGCGGTGATTGGCAACGGCTGACGTCAGCCAGCTGATCTGATTGAGGCGATTGGTGGTGCTCGGACGCATACCGAGCGCAGTGGTCGGTGGGTGGGTGGGCTACCGTTCGGTCGGACCGCGGGAGCGGGCTGTGCGGACGCTCTCAGACGTGTCGCCAGTCTCTCAGGCAATTTTGTCCGTCCTTGGTCGGCGGAGTTCCCATCCGGAGCGTTTAATTCACTTTCGCTGACCACTCTCCAACTATTAACAGTCCAAAACACACCACTGGATAAACATCAACACTCACATTCTCATACTTATTCCCATACGTGGTGTACGCCACTTCCCGTCCTCTATGTTCCAGCCAGATCCCAGTTTTTCAGCCACATTCAGCTACATAAACCATATTTCGAGGCCGACACTGGTCACCAGTCTCCTCACAAGTGACTGCGTCGGGTCGGACAGCGTATCGCTCAGCTAGGTCGCTGTGACCGCGGCACTCGGTCGATGGCCTGCCCCGTCCTGTCGCTCTTTACCGATCTGCGCTGCCAGAGCCAGAGGGTTCCCCTGGGACGGCACACGTGGTCCCACTGCTATAGCGGAGCAAGGCCGAACGAAACTCAGTTATCGAGGGCCGACACAGCGCTGGTGGAGGCGGACAGAACGCCGGGAGACGCGCGCAGTAGTTTCTGACGAATGGTTCCACCCACTATGGTGTGGTTCCTGACGAATGGCTCACACTCGCTACAGGATGTGTTGAAAGTGAAGTGCCGACGGGCGGCACGCGAATATTTCGTCAGTCCCGGGTATGATGTGTTGCGTATATGCGTGGGAAGATGTTGAAAACGTTCAGAGATCCCGGTGTTTACCGGTGATATTGCTTCAAATGAAGTGAAGCTCTCGTTTCCATCATTACGAGTTATATGCAGAACACATGCAATGCTATTTCAAAGAGTGATAGGCCAGTACTAGATCAGCCGATATGGGAATGGGCTCACATCTGAGTAACTGATGGGGCCATGCGGGCTTCATCTGCTAAGTACGTACTCGAGTTAGAGTGAGAATAGCAAAGTGGCCTCACCCTTCATCGCTCGGCATTAATGCCGCGTTGTTTTCCAAGGTTACATCGCAGCGATACGGGGCGTAGCCAGCTCTCAACTCTCTCCTACCTACCGATAAAACTGAACAGTCTTTCTCTTATGGTAAGGGAAAGACTGTTCTCAAACAGTGCCATCGCAAATAAATAAACACTAAACGGACGCGGCGCCTGCCCATTGCACCGGTATTTGGAGTGCCTAATGGTGTTTTTATGCATCGTGCGAGAAATCCTTTATCCCCTTCACACGGATGCTGTGATTTACTGCTCTGAAATGCGCATTGTACCCTGAGGGAGCGCCAACCCCGGCTGCTGCGCTGAAGCCTGAAACGGTAACCAATCGAACGCCTGACCATTTGCCGTGTGCGAAACCGCCCCGGCGTGCAAATATAAATGCGTTGGAGACGCCGGGGATGGTTGATTTATGCGGAAATGTGCCAGTTATAGGCAGGCCAGGCTGCTCTAGCTATTAGCATCGTATGTTTTCCTTCAACTTGAGTTGAGTGAATAGTTTGTACTTATTAAGAAAATAGTTTTCAAGTTTCTCTTTGTTAACGACGCAAATGATTGCTTTGCTGCCGTGATTGCTTCCCTGCTTTCATTTCATATTAAAATTAAGTTTCATTTATATCGTCTGGTTTACAACGACTGGATTTTAAAGGTTGAATAGAACTTTTGAATGTGCTATTTATCTTGTCAACGTTGTGCTTTCATCCGCCACTCTCACTAGTCATTTCGGAAATATATAATTGTCAGTGAAAAGCGTCTTCGAAGTTCGATTACGATCTCAGTTCGTCCCCATTTAAGCCTTTTACATATTTGAACGACCTTTAGACGAAGTCGCTTGGCTCGGGAGAAGTTCGGCCTTCATGCATATCGAAGCGAGTCTGAGGAACAGGCTGCTATCAACTTAGCTGCAGGCATCCGCGATAGCAGCAAATTGGAAAATAAATTAGTTGAATAGGTTGGCAAGCTTAATGGTCCAGGGAATGGCCGATGGGCCCTCACGTAGCCGCTATTACCTGCTTACGATTCGATGGTAGATGGTAGCTGTCTGCGCAAATGTAACGTCCCACTGGCTTGGTCCTGGTCAGCCTGCAAAATACTTTTAAATACAGCTTTATTAATTTTCATAAGCCAAACTTTACTTTCAATGTGTAACTAATATAAGTAATGATTTATTGACATTTTAAACTAGCACCATCGAAACTCCCAGCCACCATCGACCGGACAGCCACCATATGGTGCGCCACCGAAAACACCAATCTCTGACAATTTCGCCCGTCACATGTTTGTGGGGAAGCGCGCGGCCGGCCGCCGCCGGCACCGTCACTCAAATATCAATAATCAATCGGCCGCCGCTCGTGGAGATATTGGAAGATGTGTCAACACTCAACATCCCGGGGAGGGTGGGGAGGGATTCGACCAACCGCGCGGGCGAGGTATGGCTCGGGCGCTGCAGTGGTCTGATACCACCTGATGCTGATGTCTTTGAGCAGATGACTTATTGCAGCCAGTAACCTTTCCTTACCACTCTCCACAGGTGCGGACGATAGCTGGGAGGCTGCCCGGCCGCTCGGCTGCTCGCCCCTACTGGTGTTCGTCAACTCAAAGTCGGGCGACCACCAGGGCATCAAGTTTCTGCGACGGTTCAAGCAGCTGCTTAACCCGGCCCAGGTGTTTGATCTGATGAACAGCGGCCCCGCACTCGGGTGAGTGAGTGAGTGAATGAGTGAGTGAGTGAGTGAGTGAGTGAGTGAGTGAGTGAGTGAGTGAGTGAGTTTTAGTTAGTTGTTCAGTCAGTGACGTTATGTAGTGTGACGTCACGGGTTTCTTGCAGTAATCTGAAACCCTTCATTCCAACTAAATTTGCTCTCAGGCAGGAAGCCAGCGTTGTAATGTCGTACCTTTATATGAACATGATACGGGACACAGGGCACTAAATTCATAATATTATGCAGAGTGACGTCAGTGATGCCGGATCGCGTTACGTATTAATGAACTGATTCTTTGTAGATCTCCTAATTATCGCGGAAGAAACTGCTGCCCATGTAATAATTAGCAGGTCAATTCAAGTGTGTTTTGTTGGTAGCGACAGCATCCCGGTGCACAGTATTGCTGTTCTGTTCGGTGCGCTCCAAAGTCCAATTAGCTATCTGAGCACCTCCAGTATCCACCTATGCGGAATGGGGACATTATCACTGCTCTGAGCAGTGCTAAACCTACGCAGGCGGATATACAGTACGATGATATGCATTGGCGTGCCGGCGTGGTCGCTCTTTTATTTTGCACTGTATCCGTCACGGTACCCGAGTGTGGGTAAGATTCCACCGGTTACAACGCCGCCGAGTGACTGGCACAGTGCGGCGACGGAGTAGTGGTGCTAACTATGGAACAAATTGCCACGCACCATCACGGTCACTGACCTAACAGACATTCTGTGTGTGCATCTGCGACATAGCTGTCACTCCTCTGTCTTCGGAACTGATGGGGTCAGGACAAGGTTCTGAGAACAACATAGTGCGACGTTCTTTTTCTCATATTTGGTGATCGGAGAGTAACTGTGCTTGGCGTATGTCAGCTATTGTCGGTGTCTAATAGTAAAGCTCATGCTTTTCTGCGCAGGGCTGTCAATAATGTCAGATGTGACGAGGTTGTGCGTCGTATGGGTTCAGCGGCCCGTGAATCCGGCGTCGTCTGTCCTGCTGTCTGCGCCCACTGGACTACTGAGAAATATGACGTTCTAGCATGTGTCGGACAGAACGGAAGAATAGGGTGGAAGGAGACAGACAGGACGGAACAGGAAGGACGAGACGAAATGGGGTAGGATAGAATGGGACAGGGCAGGACGGAATCTGGGACGAAACGAGGTAGGAGCGGGCCGCTCAGTCTGTCGACGCGCTATGACACGTCGGCAGCTCGGCTAATTGTATACACAGCGCCCGGCGCCTCCTCTGAACGTACGCTGCCTCTCCCGTGGGGAGCGCGCCCACCTGTCTGTTCGACCCGCCTGCCGCTGGCGTCAGCTCTGCGCTAACCGGCCCGTATGCCGCGCGGAGGTTGTTTAGCCGGGCTCCCGGCCGGCCGCGGCGGAGGGATGAGGTGACGGCTGACGGCCGACCCGACCCGCCCGACCCGCCCGGTCCCTGAGATGTGACTCACGGGCTCACTGACGGCGCGGCGGCGCCCGCATCGGGAGTGTCTAAAAAGCAGACGAGATTAGCAGACGAGCCCATGCTCAGTAACTACTGGACCGATTTTGATAATTCTTCCACCATTCAATAGCAGGGAACTTACATAGGTGCCGTTTTTCGTTTTTTGGCGATTGGTTCACTCTGACTGGACCAATCGGACCAAAATGGTCCAGAACCATACACCCCCTTAAAAGCAGACGAGCCCATGCTCCGAAACTACTGGACCGATTTCGATGAAACCTTCACCATTAGACGCGCCGTGGTCTAAAACGGTGCCGTTATTGATAATTTTTTGATTGGTCCACCCTAAGTGGTCCAAATCGGTCCAAAACCGCTAAAATCTGTTGCAGACGAGCCCATGCTCCGAAACTACTGGACCGATTTCGATGAAACCTTCACCATTAGACGCGCCGTGGTCTGAAACGGTGCCGTTTTTGATAATTTTTCGATTGGTCCACCCTAAGTGGTCCAAATCGGTCCAAAACCCCTAAAAACTGTTGCAGACGAGCCCATGCTCCGAAACTACTGGACTGATTTCGAAGAAACCTTCACTATTAGAGGCACCATGGTCTGAAACGGTGCCGTTTTTGATAATTTTTCGATTGGTCCACCCTAAGTGGTCTAAATCGGTCCAAAACCCCTAAAAACTGTTGCAGACGAGCCCATGCTCCGAAACTACTGGACCGATTTCGATGAAACCTTCACCATTAGACGCACCGTGGTCTGAAACGGTGCCGTTTTTGATAATTTTTCGATTGGTTCACCCTAAGTGGTCTAAATCGGTCCAAAACCCCTAAAATCTGTTGCAGACGAGCCCATGCTCCGAAACTACTGGACCGATTTCGATGAAACCTTCACCATTAGACGCGCCGTGGACTGAAACGGTGCCGTTTTCGATAATTTTTTGATTGGTCCACCCTAAATGGTCCAAATTGGTCCAAAACCGCTAAAATCTGTTGCAGACGAGCCCATGCTCCGAAACTACTGGACCGATTTCGATGAAACCTTCACCATTAGACGCGCCGTGGTCTGAAACGGTGCCGTTTTTGATAATTTTTTGATTGGTCCACCCTAAGTGGTCCAAATCGGTCCAAAACCGCTAAAATCTGTTGCAGACGAGCCCATGCTCCGAAACTACTGGACCGATTTCGATGAAATCTTCACCATTAGACGCGCCGTGGTCTGAAACGGTGCCGTTATTGATAATTTTTCGATTGGTCCACCCTAAGTGGTCCAAATTGGTCCAAAACCGCTAAAATATGTTGCAGACGAGCCCATGCTCCGAAACTACTTGACCGATTTCGATGAAACCTTCACCATTAGACGCGCCGTGGTCTGAAACGGTGCCGTTTATGATAATTTTTTGATTGGTCCACCCTAAGTGGTCCAAATCGGTCCAAAACCGCTAAAATCTGTTGCAGACGAGCCCATGCTCCGAAACTACTGGACCGATTTCGATGAAACCTTCACCATTAGACGCGCCGTGGTCTGAAACGGTGCCGTTATTGATAATTTTTCGATTGGTCCACCCTAAGTGGTCCAAATCGGTCCAAAACCCCTAAAAACTGTTGCAGACGAGCCCATGCTCCGAAACTACTGGACTGATTTCGATGAAACCTTCACTATTAGAGGCACCATGGTCTGAAACGGTGCCGTTTTTGATAATTTTTCGATTGGTCCACCCTAAGTGGTCTAAATCGGTCCAAAACCCCTAAAAACTGTTGCAGACGAGCCCATGCTCCGAAACTACTGGACCGATTTCGATGAAACCTTCACCATTAGACGCACCGTGGTCTGAAACGGTGCCGTTTTTGATAATTTTTCGATTGGTTCACCACTTAGGGTGGACCAATCGAAAAATTATCAAAAACGGCACCGTTTCAGACCACGGCGCGTCTAATGGTGAAGGTTTCATCGAAATCGGTCCAGTAGTTTCGGAGCATGGGCTCGTCTGCAACAGTTTTTAGGGGTTTTGGACCGATTTGGACCACTTAGGGTGGACCAATCAAAAAATTATCATAAACGGCACCGTTTCAGACCACGGCGCGTCTAATGGTGAAGGTGTCATCGAAATCGGTCCAGTAGTTTCGGAGCATGGGCTCGTCTGCAACAGATTTTAGCGGTTTTGGACCAATTTGGACCACTTAGGGTGGACCAATCAAAAAATTATCATAAACGGCACCGTTTCAGACCACGGCGCGTCTAATGGGGAAGGTTTCATCGAAATCGGTCCAGTAGTTTCGGAGCATGGGCTCGTCTGCAACAGATTTTAGGGGTTTTGGACCGATTTAGACCACTTAGGGTGAACCAATCGAAAAATTATCAAAAACGGCACCGTTTCAGACCACGGTGCGTCTAATGGTGAAGGTTTCATCGAAATCGGTCCAGTAGTTTCGGAGCATGGGCTCGTCTGCAACAGTTTTTAGGGGTTTTGGACCGATTTGGACCACTTAGGGTGGACCAATCGAAAAATTATCAAAAACGGCACCGTTTCAGACTACGGCGCGTCTAATGGTGAAAGTTTCATCGAAATCGGTCCAGTAGTTTCGGAGCATGGGCTCGTCTGCAACAGTTTTTAGGGGTTTTGGACCGATTTAGACCACTTAGGGTGGACCAATCGAAAAATTATCAAAAACGGCACCGTTTCAGACCACGGCGCGTCTAATAGTGAAGGTTTCATCGAAATCGGTCCAGTAGTTTCGGAGCATGGGCTCGTCTGCAACAGTTTTTAGGGGTTTTGGACCGATTTGGACCACTTAGGGTGGACCAATCGAAAAATTATCAAAAACGGCACCGTTTCAGACCATGGTGCGTCTAATGGTGAAGGTTTCATCGAAATCGGTCCAGTAGTTTCGGAGCATGGGCTCGTCTGCAACAGTTTTTAGGGGTTTTGGGCCGATTTGGACCACTTAAGGTGGACCAATCGAAAAATTATCAAAAACGGCACCGTTTCAGACCACGGCGCGTCTAATGGTGAAGGTTTTATCGAAATCGGTCCAGTAGTTTCGGAGCATGGGCTCGTCTGCTTTTAATGGGGTGTATGGTTCTGGACCATTTTGGTCCGATTGGTCCAGTCAGAGTGAACCAATCGCCAAAAAACGAAAAACGGCACCTATATAAGTTCCCTGCTATTGAATGGTGAAAGAATTATCAAAATCGGTCCAGTAGTTACTGAGCATGGGCTCGTCTGCTAATCTCGTCTGCTTTTTAGACACTCCCCCCGCATCGCCTATTTACAGCGGATCCGGGTCCGCCGACAACGGCGTCACTCACAGCTACGGGCGATACAGGCTAAAATGTGGCGTATTTATGTATCGCAACAGAGACACCCTCAGTCGTGGATGTTTTAGATTGAGTGGCGTCTTTTAGCTCTGTGTGGATGATGTTTGTAGTAGAGTTGCAAAGTTTTCCCCAAAGGCTGCTACCGGCACCGCCCCGCCCCACAAAAATTTTCTGGGATACCGGCATGCTACCACGCCCCAAGCAAAAAAACCGCCAAATTACCGGCATACTAAAAAAAACCTGCATTCTTGATTCTAGCTTACCCCTACAAGAGATGCCACATTTTGGCATGCAGTACCTGTCCCACCCAGCAGCCATCCATTGTCCAACCACAAATACCAGCAGGCTGATTTTGGCTGAGTTGGCCCCACAAATACCCAAAATTTTGAAACTCAATTTCAGTCTATAACTGTTAAAATATCACCTGTAATCAAAGCGGTATTGCCTACAAAAAACTAACACATTCAGTAAAAAGGCGAGGACAAAAAGAACTTGAATTACTGAAATGTGTTTCTAAAGACTGGACAGTGAGCACTGAGCAGTAATCACATTTACATTTCACAGGTGTTCTACTTTTCCACATTCTCCTAAAATGTTGCAGGCACCAGCCAAATGTTTAAAATCTAGATGGTCAAAACATAAACAAGTACAGATTCGGCCATCTTCTTAACTGAGGAAGCGAGATCAACATCTACTGTTTCCTATCCACCATGGCTTGCTGGTTCGTGAATAAGATACGAATCATGTAAAAAAAATGAGCTAATAACGCACTGGTCCTGAGAACAGTCACCAAATAATATGTATAAAAACGATATCTTCCATCCTCTCCAACCTCAAACGGGAACAAAAACAAATGCGCCATAGCAGAGGCTTTTAACCAGCTGAATAAAACGCTGCAAAAAAAAGTTTTACGACTGCAAGCCACTGCCTCGTGAATGATTATATTAATAAAAATTATCCAACACAATATTAAATTGTAATGAAATCAACAATGTGAGTGTAACTCACTACAAGAAAATTCATTTCTCTTCAGTTATTCAACCAAAAAAGGGTATACGAATAATACCTATTACGTCATCAGATTACATCCATTCATTAGGGGAGAGAGCATCTCAATCTTAAAAGTAAATCCTTGGTTGTATTATTTTGCGTCACTTTGTGTCAATTTTGCCTTCATGATGTGTTTTCTTGTAAAGATAAGACAAAATGTCTGTTCAAATCCATTTTCATTTAATTATGGGACCAAAGTCAGGCTCAGGGCTACCTAACACCTGCCTTTTCAGCTGGATTGTCAGTGCAAATTCTTTGTAGAGTTTCTCAGACCACATCTCATGATCTCAAGACTCAAGGCCAGTTTCCAAACAATGTGTTTTTTGGTGTTTTGATTCTGCCTTTTCCCCTAGGGAATTTTGTCATGAACATTTATTTGTTTTATTGTGTTATACATATTACCTACCATTAGACTTACTAATTGATCGTGCTTTTGCAACATGAATGAGTACCATTCCAATTCTTCCTTTTGTAGACCACAGTAGATTCTTGACAATTCTAATTATAACCAAGCCTGAGAAATGCTGAGGTCCATGTGTTACCCCTACCCTTAGCAATGGAACTTCTACCACAAAATGTATCTTGCAGTGGTTAATATTGCTGTTTTATTACAATTTGAGAGCCTCTTAGTGTCCAAAGTTTGAATCTTTTGCTGATATTTTTTTTTGCACAAAATCAAAAATACCGGCATGCTACCGGCAAGACATGCCAGATACCACGAAAAAACCTGCGGTAGTGAAAAATTACCGGCATGCCGGTAGTGCGGTAGGGAAATTTTGCAACTCTAGTTTGTAGATATGTATTTTGTAGATATGTATGTGATGCGGCTTCATTGAACTCTTGAAAGAGGAGCTTGTGGCATTCGGAGTTACCAGGCCGCGATTTGATTCCCCGTGCCCCGGTGTTTTACCACCACCTCCTCATCAGCAGTCATCGCCCGCGCGACCGACCGGAGTTGTCAGCGCCGCTCCAAAGGCCACCCTGTCCAAATGTCACAGCGGAAGTGCTGGTCGGTTGCGCCGGAAGACGATGGAGCGGATGTGGCCGGGGGGAGGGGGAGGGGAAACGGAGGTGCGGAGTTGAGCCGTCCGGTCACAGATATGTCCCGTTCCGGGTCACCCTCGACGACGGATGGAGGCCAAGACGAGCCGCTGGAAGTTCCTACCGGCTCCGGCGGCCTGTTCGACCTGCCGGGTCGATGGAGGCCCAACACCAGCCTCGCACCGCGGCAGCTGAGAGCAGCTGAGAATAAGAGCGGTGCTAGAGTTATAATGAGTCGACCAGAGGGTGCTCTGCAAAGGTCAACTCGACTCAGAATGAGCTCTCCACAATGCGGCGGCGCGAGACACTTTGTGATCGACTAAAGGCGAAATTACGGCTGACCTGGTAATATCGGGCTGCTGCGGCGGTCCTTTCCACACCTTTCATGTCACAATGAAGATTATGATCAGGATATTAAACGGAATTTGGAATAAGACCATGTTTTCCTTTCCAAACTTGTCCCCACGATTCATATCCCAGTGACTTCAATCGTCGCTCTGTTAGTTCCGTAGCCTGTGTACTCGTCACTCTTTGATCGCTTGTATGTCATGCTTTCCTTCCGCAGTATACCTATATCATTCATGTCCAACAATGCGTGTTCGCTGAGCGCCTGAGCTGCCCGTGGTATGCACTATGCAGCTGTCTAGCTCAGGGGTATTCCGTGTGACGTCACGCCGCCCCTGTGTCGGCAGGCTGCGGCTGTTCAAGAAGTTTGACCAGTTCCGAATACTTGTGTGCGGCGGCGACGGCTCCGTCAGCTGGGTACTATCTCACATCGATAAACTGGACATGCACGTGAGTAACCCCGAAGTTCGTCGACTTTCCCTACCCACATGCCCTGCCGCAAGCACTAGCCGTCTTTGAGCTGCGTAGTGGATATGCTAATCGTTATCGCATATAATTGTAGAGCCGGAATTCGCCAGAAATGGTCCAATGCATTGAATGTTGAGGGAATATTTTTGGGACCTCCTTTTATAAACTCATTGATCTTTAAGTGAGGTGTTTATATATGCCCCTGTTTGTGCCGTGGGCCTTTCCCTCGACCTTTTCCCTAATTAGGCCAATTAGTTTTAACGGCTTCCAGGCAGGGATCTAGAGTTTTCAAGTGCTTTTCAAAGAGAGCATTCAGGATGCTTCAGCCAAATAAGGTCCGGATACTTTCAGCTGAAAAAAACATTCTAGATTAGAGCAAAGAGGCTCACTGTTAATAGTCTAACCCGTTCACTGCGTTTTTTCTGCGGTTCGCATTAAGCGCGATTCGGACGCTCTGTTAAACACGCTAGATACAACTTTAAATTTAGCGTCTCTACCTTGTGCCTTTACACAATTTCTCATAAAGCAGCGAACGGCGCCGTGTTCTCTGCAGCTAATATAACCCAGCCGACTCCGTTTCCGCTCAGCACTGTGACCTCTCAGTGTGTCACACGGCCGACGTTACGGCGTTAATATGTGCCGCTGCCGGGGCGCTGCACGGCCCGGATAATCGCCGCCTTGACTGGGCTCCATTCGTCACCGCCGGAATTATGCACGGGCGCCTGTACGGCGCACGGTAGGCGATCGGGCCGGTCTAGCCTCGCGAAACCTCAAAGACACTTTTTTCCGAAAATTGGAAAACAACGCATACTAGTCGACAGAAAATTCATCAAAGATTACGATTAGTGCATTTGCATGGCTCAGGAGACATTTTTTCATAGACAAAAGTATCGTTAAAGACAGCGTTCCGTAACACTTCATAGGGGGGATAATCACAGCCGATTTTTACGCTCTTTGAATATTTTGCGGAACGATGAAGTTGCTAGGTGTTGAGCATCCATTTTGCATGGAAAGTGAAATTTAGATGTTTAGACGATTCCACCAGAGAAAGCAAGTAGACAAAATCAGTTCAAAATGTCTTATAATTATTAGGTTAACTTTTTATATTTTTTTCTACCACTGAACATTACGTTCACTGAATTAACCAAGCCCAGCAAAAAACGTTTTACGAGGATGAACTGAAAATAATGCTGTATCGCATGCACTAAGACACTATCTATTAGGGGAGCCAGTGAAAATTTGCAGCCACTTGCAGCCCTGGCATCCAGACACCTTTTTCTTCTAAGGGTTGGCCGTGGCTTGGTGCACTTGAGCACAAGTGGTAAATGCCCCAAAGGGTGTTTTCGCGATAGCTCAACACCCAGGCAATAGAGAGCTGCAACTTGGCATACCTGACCTTTGATGCACGCCAAATCTTGTGACACCAACCGCACTTTCAAGTCAGGTCAGGTCACTGACCTATGACGTCATAAATGAACCTCTGCACGATCCTCAGATGTCGCAACCTTGCAACGCTCTCAGTGCCAGAGAAACTTTCACAGGGAGGTGAGACTTGCAGGACTTATTGTCCTTTAGAGGTCTTACAACTTTTTTATCTCAGGTTTTTCCTAAATGTCACATAAAGTCAGGTTGGTCACGTGATCTCACCTATAAGTCAATCGGGAAATATGAAAACTGTTATTTTGGCGCCAGGAATGATATTCGATTGTCTCAAGTACATGGAATCGTTACTTCATGCACTCCTTGCAAGATCTGATGCTGCATTTTTCCATTGTTGACCTTGCATGACGTCATTTATGACGTCACTAGGGTCATACGAGTTTTTCGTCAATAACTCCCGATCAAATTGAGCTAGAGAGTCGACAAGGTCACCAATGGACTCCGGAAGACCTGCCGAATCGAATGATATGCGATATGACCTCATTCGACCAACTTCGTGATTTGAAGACCTCTGACCTGACCTTGACTCGAGGTCAACAGGTCAACACCTTACGGTGGCCTCACCTGAACCAAAAAGTATACCATTCGACGCGCCTGAGCAAGGCGAACACGACGATGTCAAAATCGTGGTTCTGCGGCCATTTTTTGCGAAGTTATTTACCAAAAACCAAACCCGCTGCTTGGGTCACGTTATGAAATGGGGCCTTGCCGGGCGAGATTTACGCTGTTTCATGGTATGTATAAATTGGTAGGGCATAATCGTTTGAATAAAAAGTTGGCTTGGAAGCAATTTTCTACGGAGGTACACACCATTTCGATGTCCTACCCAGCTCATATCGTCATTAATTTCGACCTACCCTCAAAAGTATTCATGCGTTATTCGAGCGGCAATTAGGCAAATTGCAAGCTCGCCACAGAGCACAAATCCTAAAAGAGATAGTCCTTATTTAAAACATATGCTCATTGGATATTCAAGAAGGTTGCTCCTAAATATTGTGGTTCTAGCTTCAAAAATATGGATGTTATAAATGCCGATAGGTTTCGCGAGGCTACACCGGCCGGATCGCCCACTGTGCGGCGGTGGGAGGCGATAGTTGCGCTCCGCAGACATTGATCGTCTCGCTCCGGACGAAACCAGACTGGTGCCGCACGGGTAGGCGGAATGAGGGTGAAGTGGGGTGCGGTAGACACGTTAAGGGCGGGAAGGGAAGAATGGTACCCGGCCGTCATAATTCTTACGACGATTTTTCTCGTCTACCTTCTACCTTCCTTCTTGTCTATGGTCTGATCGTGTTCTGACCTGCACACCGCATCCTGACCAGTTGCCCCCGCTTCTTGCTGTTCGCCCTCTACTTCCTCCCCCGCTCTGACCTGCCCCCGCAATGTCCTCAGCGTCAGTGCCAGGTCGGTGTGCTGCCCCTGGGCACCGGTAACGACCTGGCGCGCGTGCTAGGATGGGGCAGCGCCTGTGACGACGACGCCAACCTGGCGCACATGCTGGAAAAGTACGAGTGCGCCACCATCAAGATGCTGGACAGGTGAGGAGGAGGGGGAGGGGGCTCTTCCGGGCTTTGTTGACATCATAGGAAAGTGGTGCGCGTAAGCACCGATGACGAATGGACTGTATGACGTGACTCAGCCAGCTTGTCATTTGTTTATTCGGGATGACATTGGGGTCATCAGGTAACTGAGCGCATTAGGCGCTGTTTCTATGCCGCGGAGGCCGTCTTCTCCCTCGTGACCGGCCGGCCTCCTGTGTGTGACGTCAGACAGTGACGTCAGACGCCGTCCCGGTGAGGTGCCGCTGGGGCCGCGCGGCGGACACGGCTGGTTTGTTTGCGACTGCGGGTGTATTTGTGCTCCTCCCCGGTGTAAACGCAGCTCCGTGTAAATCCTTCCTCTGCCAATTCCCGTGATAAACACGGGCGCAAACTATTGTGTCAGCCAAGGCTGAAGAGCGCTTTACAACTTCTCTGCCAAATGTTCCGGTAAATAGACGTTTCAGTGTCTTGTCTTTGAATTGGAGAGCAGTCGTTCTATTTGTAGTTTCTACACGCTGGAATCGTTAAATGAGTTTGCAATAGTTCTAAAGTGGGAGTTAGTAATATGACTACCTTCTTACAAAGCACAGGCTCATCGGATACGTACTGTCCTTCGACCGTCTGACCCTTCCCGCTCCATCTCTCTCCGCAGGTGGAGTATCAGCGCGATGAGTACCACAGTGCGTCTACAGGCAGCCGTCCCGTCGGCGGACGCCATTGCCGCCTACGAGGAGTCGGTCAGCGACCAGCTGGCGCGTCTGCTGCACTCGGAGAGGCACCCGGAGCTGCTGCAGGCCGCCAGGTGCGGAGTGGGCACTCACACTCACTCACACTTACTGGTTCATACACTCAAGCACTCACTTACCGGTTCATAAACTCACTCACTCACTCACTCACTCACTCACACACTCACTCACGCATGCTTTCTTTCACTCACTCAATCAATCAATCCTTTTTTCATTCATTCAGTCGCTCAAGCACTTTTTCACTCACTCGCAAGGTCATTCACTGCTGCTCACCCGGCTTGCCATTTTCTCCCACAAAACACTCGCGCTCTTTCTCAACACTTTCATTATTCCATTACTAAATTTGTTTCGCCTTTTACAGCACTCGTCCACGCAGTAACTCACTGACGGGATCACTCATTCCCCGTTTCTCCCAGCACCGAACTCACTTCTCAGTCGGAAGGCGTTCCCGACCTAAAGAGCCCCTCGCCCGGGGCTTTCATCCCAGCTCAGCGCAGCATCTGCTGCTTACCATTCAGACAGAGCGCTGCGGATGACACGTCTTCAGTTGAAAGCGCCCGCATCTGAGAATCTCCCGCGCGGTACCCGCATTCTCATCCACCCTGGCCGAGTTATATAACTCCCCCTGTGAAGACATATGCCTCGCCAGAGACTGGCCTCGTGACCTGATGTCGAGTGGCGCGCTGTCGTATCCCGAGTGCTGCCATCGTGTCCCTGTTTCCCGGACGCTCCGGTGATTGTGTATCGGTTCAGTAGTCCCATTACGCGTTGTGATGGTGCGCCGTCATCCGTCGGCCGGTATCAGGTGCCAGAGATGCCCCTCCACCGCGTCAGGATCAGTAATAGTGGCAGCTGCCGGAACCCGAGGCCCCTTACCGGGCGTCCTATTTGTGAATGGATGCTGGACTATTTTTATGATGGCGTGCCGGCGATGAGGTGTGTTTTGTCCGTTATAAGCGGCAGTGGGGCTGACGCGTCAGTTTGTCCGTTGCGCTGGATCCCAGTATGTTTCCAATATGAAAGGTTTGAGTGAATTACAAGCTCCATTGACAAGCAATGTAGGCTAACGCATCCTAGATATCGCATATGCCACCAGAAATAGCACCTACGATTGTATTTCATATCCTGAACTCAACGCTGTGAGATTACTGGAGGTCAGTGGGGCCAGTGTTGTCTAAGGCCATAACCATTGACCAATTGACCCACGTGTAACAGCTGTCTGTCCCCGACGTTCCGTGCCCAGGTGGCTGGGACCGCTCCGCTGACACCACCTCATCTATGTGTCATTCTCAGTGTGCTGTGTGAGACCGTGCGGGACCTGATCGCTCGGGTGGGCAGCTCAACCGGCGACTCCACGCCTGCCGTCGGACGCAAGTGTGAGGTCCTCAACGAGAAGCTCTCATTGCTAATGGCCGCTCTGAAGGAGGAGGAACCAGCCGTGCCCCCCGCGAGCGCCGGTCGCCGGGCGCGCACTGCGCCCGCGCCCGCTCCTGCTGCGTTCGTACCGCGAGACACACTGATGCTGCGAGCCAACAGTCTGAAGAAGGCTATCCGTGAGATAATGGCGCACGCCGAGCACACGATCGACGAGCGGACGGCGGCGGCCGGCGCGGCCACGGCGGCTGCCGAGGCAGAAACGGAGACAAAGACGGAGACGGAGACGGCGGAATGGCAGGTGAGGGACGGGATGGGTGGGGAGGGAAGGGAAATGGGATATGTGGGAGGGAGAGGGGAGATGGCTTAGGAGGCTGCTATGACATGCGTGGGATGGGAGATGCGTGGGACATATGGGAGGTGCGTGGGGGAGCGAGATGCGTGCCTGGGTATTGGTGACACGGAGAAGACAATTGTTGCTATTCTTGTAGGGATTTGCTGGGTTTTGCTGATAGTTTTGGAGAAATACGGCGCAGCGAGATACGCTCCCGATTATATAAAGGAGATGCGATGCGCGTGTCTTGCATGCAGCTTGTCTATTTCTGTAGCTCCGGTCTCGCTTTTATTGTTTATATTCGGCCTGTTCAACGGGTGTAACAATCAATTTTCACCGCTCGTGTGCGCTGCTTGCCTATTTCTGCTCACTTGTTGCGCCAGTCGCGTACGCTGCGACCCACAATTAGGTCAGGTAAATTTGTTCGTCCTATCGGTGCGAGGGTGTATTTTCGTGACCATGCGCTAACGAAGATGGGTAAATAGCCTCTGCCAGCGGAACGGGGATTAACCCAACGGTGACTGAATGTTGATCGAACGGCACATTAGCGTAAAATGAAGATGAGGCTATGCGAATGCAGTTTTCTCGGTTTTCTTTCTTTTTTCTTTGGTTTTTCTTGCATTGCGATAGTATGCTTTTTTAGTTAGTTTTGATCAACTACGCCTCTTGTCAACAATGCGTCAGTCCTTGTACTGGCTGCTACAGTGACCGATTTGGTAGCCTTACCATGTCCGTATAACCGACCCTGTCGCAGCTGTGTGACTAGCTGGGTTCCCTTGCAACTCATTGCGTCCCGTACCATATGTGACCGTCCCTTCTCTTTTGGGGCCGTCCCTTCACCGTGTAACCGTCCCGTCATCGTGTAACCGCCATGTCCCCATGTGATCACCCTAATGCCATGTGGCCGTCTTTGTCCCTCGTGTGACCATCCCATGCCGCTGTGACCGTCCCGTGCCCCTGCGTAACCTTGCCGTTCTCCGTGCGTGGCACAGGCGGAGCCGTCACCGTCGCCGATGGCCTCGCCGTACCGAATGGCCGGCTCGATGACCACCTCGTTCCCGGTGCGGCCGTGGCCGGCCGGCGGCGCGCCGCCCTGGACCGTGCGCCAGCCGTCACCTCTACTCTCCGGTAGCACCGCCGCCCCGGCGTGCACGGTCCCAGAGCTGGCCGTCGAGCCGGCCTCGCCCGAGGACTCGCCGCTGCCCACCCACGCGCCCGTCGAGAGGAGACCCAGCGAGGAGATATCGCAGCTGTTTGCGGCCAGCGCCGGCGCCGGACACGGCGACGGGGATAAGGTAAGGCGAAGGAGAGAGACTGTTGAAGGGAAGGGGCAACCTAGCCTAACGCTATAATTAACTATTTACTCGAACATGTGTCCAACTCTGACCTCTATCCGTTTCACAGACGCCGTCGCCGCCGAACCCGCTGTCCATCAGCCCGCTGCCGGCGGTGCGCGGCGAGACACCCAGTGAGCTGGAACCTCTGCCCGACATCCCCGCTCCGACGCCGTTCGCCGACGGACGCCGACCGTCCGAGGGAGACGTCGAGGCGGTCGGCGAGCAGGGGCCGGCGAGCGGCGAGGGCGAGCGGGAGCCGAGCGGCGAGCGTGACTCCAGCGCGGAGCCGGAGCCGGAGCCGGGGAGGGAGCTAACGGGCCTGCTCGGCTCCGATACTGTCCAGCTGAGGATCAACTCGTCGGCCGATAGCCTGCTGGATGGATTCGACGACGACGAACCGCTGCTGGTGGAGCAGAAATCCGTCAGAGGTGGGTGGTGCCTTCTGTGCACGGAGGAGCTGGCGGGATAGGTGATAATTGTGGATATCATGAATCTTTAGCTCAGACAGCAGGAGGGGTGGGCTGCCCGCCGTCGCCAATGGCATTTCGTCTTGTGTTTGGGTGCAGCTTGCCGGCTTGTACCCCTCGACCCATTATTTGGTGGTTCTGCGACTGCTCTCCGGGCTTCCCTGTGGGCATCGCTCACGCTGAGACTCTCTGAAGTTTGTGACGCTCTGGCGTCGTATCAGCTGATGCTAGTACGGGAGTGTTGGAAAGTTGATGCATTGCCAAAGTTGCCGAAGATTCATTACTATGCCGTGTCAACTTTTCAAAGTTCGTGTTTGTGGTTGTAAGATCCTGCTGGTAAGAAAACACCTGTTAGGCTAAGGAACTGACGGCTGAACAAAATTAGATTGTAAGTCCTGTTTCCGTTCTTTCATGGTCGGATGAGAACAAAGGAAATTCACTAATGCTGGGATCCGGCCGTACATACTGAAGCAGCGCAGTCCCCGGTAACAAAGTAGACCTCACCACCTTGCCTATCCGTCCTTTTCGCCCATGAGTGGTCTATCACCGCCTACCTACCCCCACGGCCGTTCGCCTGTGTAATGGTTTATGCAAATGACTCGACGCGGTAGATTGGACCGGCTAGTGACAGCTCAGTGGCGGCAGTCCCGCGGGGATACCTCTGTTTGTGGAACTGGTGAGAGCGCTAGCGTATGGACAGCGTCGTCCGGTCGGTATATTGGACGGCCGCCCCCGGGCGACACCAGTTTCAGGGGCTGTGAGGTGTTTGAAAGGTTATATACGGGGGCGAGATTCTATCTCGCAGGCTGGTATTGGAACAAACCAGCTTGTTTTGTCTGAGCTATACTGGAACAGTCTGACGTAGGTATTCCGCTCCAACGCCCGCAATAGCAAATGCAAAGGGCCCAGCATAGTTCAATATTTCAATTGCGTTTGTGTATTTATTTTATTGCCACCGCAATCATCCCGGAATTCCAATATTGGATGGCGTCGTTGTGTTGTGGTGCAGCATTTACCACGTCCTATCCTGGCTGAGGCAAGGCGTCAGTCTGAAATACCGCGCCGTCAGAGCGCGCCAGAATGGAGTGTGACGAAACCGACTCACCGACCGCCGCGCGGCAGAGCGCATTTCTCAATCGGAGGGCGGCGGCGGCGCGGAATTTCATTACATGTGTGTGGGTGCCGGACTTCACCATAACTCTGCCGCGGCGCGATGGGTGCCGACGGAAGGCGGTGCGAAGGGAGTGGTCTGTCTAGAATGATTCGAACCGTGCGCTATTCAGACAACTGGCTGGAAATGCAGGAATAGAATAGAGCGAAATTGCCTTTGACCCGTCTGGATGTCGCCATTTGCTGCTCACCTTTGTCGTTCATAACCGCCCCTGACCCTGGTGACTGCTGACTGGCCGTGACCCTGACTACGTTACCCTAGCTGTTTGTTGGCCTCTGACCGCTGACCGCTGACCGCTGACCTCTGACCGCTGATCGCTGACCGCTGACCGTACCCCGACCTCTCAACAGACGGCAGCGGGGAGTCGAGCTGTGCCGACACCCCGCCGCTGATGGCGAAACACGCCGCTGAGCTGGAGCGGCTGGACGGAGACGGTGACAGCACTGACTTCAGCGGGACGACGGCCGTCGCGGAGCCAGGTGAGCCCGACGGTGTCACGCCCGCTTCGCGCGCCGCGCTGCGCAGAGCTCTGTCTGTGCCGCGCCGCGCTGGCCCGCGCCGAGGTCTTGTCTGTGCTGCGCTGGCCCGCGCCGCTGGCAGCGTGTCTTGGCAGGCTGCGCTTCAGTGCGTTGCCCGAGTCGCTGCCTGTGTCTGTGTTGCACAGTGGAAATTTTGGCTTAAATCCCTCGGCTTTTTGTTGGGTTCGGTGGTCGTTCGTGTGATCGCGTTGGCCTGTCCAGTCGCGTCTCTGTGAGTTCGACTGACGCTGAGCTGTGGGATTAAAGTGTCTGTGATGGACATAACGTCTGGAGAGCTGTCTAAATCGGGCCTTTTAGATGCGTCAAAGGTGCGTTGTGCTGTTCAAAGCTTCGGTGGTTATTGACGTTGTTTCTGACTCGATTCCAGATGTTCCGGCAGGCAATGTATTTTGTTGGCCTATATCCGTTTGTTGCGTCGTGTTGTTGATCTGTCCGGGAAATGGGACAGTGGGGATGCCCAGTCTTCTCCTAGTTGTGTACAGCCGGTGCGGTAATCATCCTCCGTCGCTAGATAACATCAAAGGCTGCTATTAGACCGCAGCTCGCCAGAGCTTAAATTATGTCCTCCCCTTTCATCAAAATTCCCTTTTAACCTGGCGAGTTTGCATCATTACGAGCGAGCGAGCGCAGCGAGCGAAACGAGTCTTTTCAATATAACTGAAAAATCTCAGTATGAGCGGCCCGGCCCGGCCCGGCCCGGCCCGGCCCGGCCTGTAACGCTTTTGAGAGGCTTATATCTCAGCAACCGCTGGACCGATTGGCCTGCGGTCTTTTTTGCTGGGTAGCCCCATCCCTTCTACCCCGTAATTGACTATTTTTGATACACCTCAGTGACCGTCGTGGCACGTGCCACGTGAAATGTCAAGGGTGTTCAAGCTGTTTTGCAAAAGTAGTGATTTTGAGAGGCTCATATCTCAGCAGCCGCTTGGGCGATTGACTTGCGGTAATTTTTGTAGGGTAGCAGCATCCCTTCTTCCAAAAATAAGATACTCTCGATGCATGTGGGTCACCCCCAGTGCACGTGCAAAATACAACAATAAGAGGTGTCAAATTTGTTCCCATTTTAATAACTCGGTAATTACTGGGGCGATTTCGCTGAAACTTGGCATACAGGTAGGCACCCACCAGGCAATGCATTCCCATGTGTTGCGGTTAAGGTGCTACTGCACGTGCGCACGTGCAGGGGGCGCTTCCAGATCTCGAGAACGGCTGGGCCGATTGCGCTCAAATTTGGTACACGGTTGGGGACCAGTTAGTAGGGTGCCGTGCAAAAGTCAGTTTGGACCCCGTTTGCACGTGCGCACGTGCAGAGTGCCACTTCCAGATCTCAGGAACGGCTGGGCCGATTGCGTTCAAATTTGGTACACCGCTAGCGACCGGTTAGAGGGGTGCTTTGCGCAAGCCCGTTGGAAGTACCCTCTCGCCCTTCCGCACGTGCAGGGCTCACTATCTCGCTCGTTCTTCGCCCAAAAGGCGTTTTACTGGTTTCTAGTGTGTACCATAATTCATAATCGTGTTTCTGAAGCTTCTAATGGAGGAGAGACTCTCCATCAAACTTACGAGCTTATTGCATTTTATTGTGTTCCATTCAGTATTGCATTGTTGAAGCTGCTTACAGAAGGAAGATTAATACTGTACCGTCTGTACCTCTGACGTCACGTCGATTCTCCTTTACGGGTGTCGAGTGTGTCGACTTCACTGCCTCCCTCCACGGGCTCAGTACATTTGTAGCTGTGTTTGTTTCTGTGGGTTATGGTCAGCTGAAGGCTTTGTTGCTTCGCCCCTCTTCCAGGCCCATATGTGCTGCGTCCATCAATCGGTGCTCCTGTCTATGTTAATTGCCGACCGCCCAACATCGTTCCGCTGGTTCACGTCTGTTTGGTGACCGTCTGGTGTCTGTTGGTCGCTCCTCGTGTCTTTGTCCAGTGACCGTTCAGCTTCCATCGGTCGCTCTCAGTGTCTATGTCCGTCTGGCGTCTGTTGGTCGCTCCTGTGTCTATGTGCGGTGGCCGTCTGACGCTCGCTGGTCGCTCTCCGTGTCTATGTCCGTCTGGCGTCTGTCGGTCGCTCCCCGTGTCTCTGTACGCTGACCGTCTGGTGAGCTTCAGTCACTCCCCGCGTCTATGTCCGGTGACTGTTAACCGTTCACGTCCTCTGGTGGTTTCCCGTGTCTCCGTCTGGCGTCCGCTGGTCGCTCCCCGTGTGCCTGCTCGGCGCCAGCGGTGTAGTGTGGCCGCGCGCCGTGTCAGCTCACTGCCGCTGTCTGCAGTCTCGGCGGCGCCGCTGGAGCCGCCGGCCCCGCCGGCCGCCGCCGGGTCCTCGCCCGACCACCACCGGCGCACGCCCATCATCAACCCGCTGGTCTGCCTGCCGGCCTGGCCCAGTGAGTCTCCGCTAACCGCCGCCCGCTGCTGGCGGAGCTGGTCGCGGTAGCGCTGCCGCCGCACCCAGCAGAGTGCCGCCGCGTCCACCCCGCCTCCGCGGCCGGCGGCGCGCCCCTCGCTGACCGCTCTGCTTTGGCGTTTCTCTCTTTCTCTCTGCTGCCCGCCCCGATACCCCGAGCGGCTGCTTGTGTGTTGTGCTGGGAATAACGCTCGCGGCTAGCGGGCGCTGACTTTTGGTTGTGCTATCAGATGGCATTTGAGATGATCTTGGTGTTTTTGGCTCGATGTTCCTGATGATTCGTGTCTTGTAAGTTGTATATGTCGTTTTTGTGACGTATGTGCCTTCAGAGAAGAAATATTCAACCTTTTTAGTGTCATTGTTGTATATCGCTCGGTTTCGATAGGTTTGTTCGAAACCTGCTTGCTGTCTGCTGTCGTTAGGCTGACTTTTGTTTATTTAAACCATACGAGCCTGTTGATTATTCACGTCAAAGTGTTGACATGACCTCTGTAAGTGACGTGGGTTGTTTCATTGTCGTGGTTCTTTTTCATCATGCCTACAGGGTGTCCGGAAATTATTTGCCCCTCCATCAGCTCGCCGCCATAATTAATAAACAAAGAGCCCCCGGTTCATGGTTTACTTACCGATTTATCCCCTGCCCTGTCCTACCCATTCCCTCATCCGCTTTGGCATTCTACAGATCAAGATGTCCAGAGTATCCGCGCTGATGTTCAGCCACACCTTTCACAGGTTCCACTAAAGTCCGTTTTCTGTGGGAGCTGGTTCAATCTTGCTGAGCTCCTCCTTCATGATTCCCCATAGGTTTTCGGTTGAGATTAGGACAGAGGATTCAATTTGACTTCCTACTTCATTCCGGTCCTCGCCATAATTTCAGCGCGATGACGCTTCGTCAAAGAATTTCTTTCGTCATAGTAGACACCACGTTCAGGTGCGAGTTACGCCTGCCAAACACTGGCCCCTGGCGCCTCGCAAGTGTCAAGGTCAGGTGACCGGGTTAGGTCATATTGTGACTAACGGACAGCTGCGGATACTGATAGCCTGGCACGGTCATAGCAAATTTTCAACAGTTCTTAAAGTGCACGGTGGGATTATAGCTGAATGAACAAGGGGCAAATAATTTCCGGACACCCTGTAAATTTCCTTCGATTATTCATGACCGATTATTGCCTGTTTCAGAACTTTTGCATGTCATGATCGTTTGGTATCGGATTATTTTGTATGTAATAGGAAGCATGCTCCATTTTTATGCCTTTTTCGGTTGGGCATTTAGGACGTTTTATGAATGTTTCCCGGTCAGCCTTTTTTAAGGTTCTGCCTTACTATGGGTTGTTTTTGTTTTCCCAAGTGAACCGTTGTATGGTACACAGTATCGAAGTCGAAGTTCACCATGCCTTTCGAGCATCTGATGTCTTCACAATGCAACATTAGTCGATGATGTATGTATATGACCTGTTTTCGTGTCCCCGTTGTGTTGCTCGTTCTTAGCCCAGGACAGTATCAGTAACTGACGAAGCTGGTTCTTGCTTGACTGCCTGCGTTCTTTTTGGCCGCGTGTTTTCTGTGTATATCGTTTGTATGCTGCCGCCTCGCAGCCGCGACGTCAATGTTGCTGCTTTCAGTGCCAGTTTTATGCTTCATTTCCCGATGCAGTGCTGGCTAAACTTACCCGCTACATATCGGGTGTTCTGCACGAGGGGTCATGTCCATTTAAACTACACTCTCTAATTCAGTCGTGGATCTTTCCGGTGTCTTGTTATCGTGCGTTGACAAGGAACTGGAACGGTGGCTGTAATCACGCCACGTTAAAAGTTGATTCACGATCACGAATTGATCATATCATCTCTCTTCGGGCAATATCGTGCCGAACACCCGGTTTCTGGCGCGCCTCTGCCGCGTGTATTGCTTTATTGCGGGATGCCTGGGCGCTCACTGGTCCTACCCGTAACCTGGGTGTGAGCAATCACTGACACGGTTACTTATACTCCTAACGACACCGCTGAGATATTTATGTGCTGTCACAGTTCCTGACGATTAATTACCGCGAGCCCTTCACGCAGTCGGCTGACGGCTGTTTCCCCGTTTGGTCACCAGATGTCTCCAGCTCCGGTGGCGGGCTGATCCAGAACGTACTGATGGCCCACGCTGACGCCCTGTGTGCCGCCGCCAGTCCGCTGGTCGCCATGCAGCACACACTGTGAGTGGGACGGCAGAAGGGGCTGTGGCATGGGTGTCTGGTAGCTGTTGGGAAGGGGAGACATCTGTAAAGTAGTGTTTGTCGGAAGAAGACGCTGGTAAGGTTGTAGGCCCAAGTGCCAGCCAGATTGCGTTCAGGGCATGGCTGTAATGTTAGTGACAGTAACGTTGCCTCCTCGCTCTAGTCTAATCTTTAAGGTGATTAAATTACTTGGATCGACAAATCGAACGTTTTTCCCTCCGTGGCCTCGACCCATTCTGACCCATTCTTTTTTCATCAATCTCTCCAACACCGATGACAGGTACAGCAACGGCTTCGAGGAGAAGGGCGTCATGAACAACTACTTCGGGATCGGTATCGACGCCAAAATATCGCTGGACTTTCACAACAAGCGCGAGGGCAACCCTCAGAAGTGCCGGAGCCGCACCAAGAACTTCATGTGGTACGGCGTGCTCGGCAGCAAGGAACTGATACAGGTGAGGGCTACTTCAAGGAGCGTCAGCGAATGCAGATTGTTGCGTGGCTGCTGGTCATACTTGATGTCCCATTAAGATCTAACACAAAAGACAAGCGGTCACCTTTGCTACTTGCGTTATTTCAATATACTCGGCTGTTTGACTGACGACTGGTTGGTCAGGTACCAATCTCCACCCGGCTTAATGTCTTCATTTGTATCGTTTTTTATGTATTGTACCTACATGAATTTGAACACATCATGTGTGCGTTTATCCGTGACAGAAAACCTACAAGAACCTGGAGCAGCGCGTGAAGCTGGAGTGTGACGGCCACGTCATCCCGCTGCCGTCGCTGCAGGGAATCGTGGTGCTCAACATTCCCAGGTGAGCTGATGTAGCCCTGGATTTGGCCCCGCCGATGACGGGATGTGTTCAATCGTTGTGCTAGTTTGATGTCAGCATTTTCCGGTTTTAGTGGTTTCATGGAATGATTGAATACTCTTCATTGACGTAGCATCTTCTAGTTTTTACGCAATATCATTTATCTGTGACGCAATGTCAATCTCGTCGACTGGCCCCACTTACCTCCCCCCTTCCTCTGCTCGTCAGTTTCATGGGCGGCACCAACTTCTGGGGCCGTCGGCGCGAGGAGGATTGTTTCCTGTTGCCCAGTTTCGACGATCGAATCCTGGAGGTGGTGGCGGTGTTCGGTACCGTTCAGATGGCCGCCAGTCGTATCATCAACCTGCAGCATCACCGCATCGCCCAGTGCCAGACCGTCAAAATCACCATACTCGGTCAGTGAGGGGAGGGGATTGGAGAGGTGTGTGAGATCGTGTTGTAGAGGGCGGCACAGCTGGGCAGCAAATACTCGGCAGTGATTTGATCCGTGAAAAGCGTTATTCTGGGCTGGGGGGTTCACGAAAATTCTAGGCATGCAAATGAAAGTGGTGTTAGCTTATCGTTAGTGATCATGCCTCCTGGACCGATGTATGATTGAGCTCTAAATTATGGAATAACTAATGATTTCTTTTCAGCCTCGCAATTCTGCGGTGATATTTCTGACCGAAATGGGCAGCAGACCCCCATCCGTAAACTCATGTGTGCGCGTTTGCTGACGATGCGCTTTCGTCCGTCTGCCCCACAGGTGACGAGGAGGTGCCCGTGGAGGTGGACGGAGAAGCCTGGGTGCAGCAGCCGGGCGTCATCAAAATCACCCACAAAAACCGGGTGCAGATGCTCGCCAGAAACAGGGTACGTGATCAATGTAAAATTATAGCTAGGTAACTCGTCATCAACCAGCTCTATGTGATGCGTCCTCATGAGTATGCGTTTAAAACTAATGCGTCGACACTGTTCAGTGCAATTTAGAATTTGAAATGATTTTTCGTAAACTGCTGTCGAAACTAAATGGTCGTATAATTTATTTGATTGTAGCAGTCTGTCTCAACAGTGCAAGTCTGTTCGATGTGTCACTCCATTGACGTGTCACCCCGTCTGACTCCCCCCTCTCCCCGCCCACAGAGTCTGGAGGCGTCTCTGCGCACCTGGCAGGAGAAGCAGCAGCGGCGCCAGTCGGTCACCCTGAGCGCCTCGCTCACCGACGACGAGCAGATTCTGCTGCGGGAGCTCATCGAGTCATCGCTGCACTTCGTCAGGTTCGTCAGATAGGGGGGAGGATATGGGGGCTATTCTTGGGTCTAGGAGGGAGATGAGTGAACTGGTACTTTTCCATACTCATGGCTTGGGGAAGGAGGAGAGGTCGTGCTTCGTCTGGTCGGTCTGGAAGGATGGAGCTAGGGAGCGTGGGCTTACGTTTTGGTTGAGAATGAAGGGTTGAGTCTCGTTCCTTGAGACGGAGCGAGGTTGATTTCGTGGTTAATTACACCTTGCACTTTCTTGCTAAGAGTAAGATAAATGATGAAACTTTGTGGCCAGCGATCAGTGCGGCACCCACCGTCGCTGAATTAATGACTTTATGCTACATGGCGTTATGAAATAGCCAGCCGAAAATAGCTCTCAGGGTGAAGAGGAAGGGCACCCAATGCTCGGGAAATAGGCTTTCGCTTCAGCCCTTCGGTCATTCTCACCTTCCTCTTCGTATGCCCTATTCTCTCGTCCGACCCTTTCTCTTATTCTCCATAACGCCCTCCCTCTCTCTTCCCTCCCTCCACACATCTAACCGCTCCCCCCCCCCCCCTTAGGACCAGTAAGCTGTTTATGAAGCGGTACGGCGGCCTGCCCGGCGGTCGGGAGCTCCAGCAGGCGGTCGGACAGACCACGGCCGTCCTGGAGAGACTGGCGCCGGCAGCCGGCTCCTCCGGCACCGGAGCGCCGCCACTGGCCGAACTGGTACGGAATTAGGATGGAGAGCGGGGCTCTGGCCGGCCCGGTGTAGTCTGGAGAGAGGGAGGGGACTGGCTGAGCTGTGACATACTGGGAGAGCGCTGAAGGCATCGAGGTTGATGTGTATCAAATACGGTTTTGTTGAGCTCTGTGTCGAACTCAGTATAAAATGCATTCGGCCAATTAATTGTTTTGGCAGCAGCGACCGCCGTTTTGACCGCAAGTGTGGCCTGCTTGCTGTTCGTATGTCTGACACGATGTTCCCATGACTGACCTAATGTGTTCCGTCTCGGCAGGGCTCTCACCGTCCGGAGGTCTCCGATCTCGTGACCTCGGTCCGCTCCCTCCACTCGCAAATGGCCGACTTCCTGCACGAGTGTGGCTCACACATTGTAAGTAGCTGACGTCCAGGTTGGCTGTGAGTAGATCTAATTGTAGGGTTTGTTTGTGAAGTTTTGACTAATTTCTGGCAATGTAGATGTTCTGGACATCAATGGGCACTGAGCTGAGGCTAACTCAGCACAGCAGTTGTAACTTGAATGTGATATGTCTGCAGCTGCAGCTTCTGACCGTCTGTCTGTGTTTGTTCTCCCTGATCAGAACCAGTGCGGCGGTCTGGAGGAGCAGCTGGTGACGGCCATGTCCCAGCTGGAGGCCGAGTTACGACACGCCCAGTCCGTGCACGGAGCCGTCCAGTTCACAGCAGCCACAGACCCGGCGGAGGTGAGAGACTAGTAGAGAGCCATTGTGGAGACCGAGGGACTGATGCTGCTTCTCAGGCTTGGGTAGGATTCACCTGACCGGGGTCTGTTAGCGATCTAAGACAAATGAAGAGGGTTGTCATGTATTGGGCATTGTTTGTCTAACCTGACACGTCTCTTATGCAGGTAATGAAATTAACTTTGACGCCTGTCGCCTTCCTCGGTCCCTGGAGACTGAGTTTACATTGTAACCTCCCCCTCCCCTTCCACAGCCGGGCGCGGAGAAGCAGCGTCGCCAGTCGCGCGGCGGTCTGTTCCGTCGGCGGCTGCGGCGCGAAGGCCGGCCGCCGGCGGCGCCGTCCCCCGGTCCGCCGCCGCCGGCCGGTGCCGCCGCCGTGGCCGCGTGGACCACAGAGGAGGTGGTGGCCTGGCTAGAGAGTATCGCGCTGCCAGAGTACCGCAACAGCTTCATCCGGCACGACGTGCGCGGCCCGGAGCTGCTCAGTCTGGAGCGCAGGTGAGCGACGCCTTACCGCCACCGCCGCTCCGGCCGGTTCGGCTCAGCTGAGACAGACTAAAGTTTACTCGAGCACGGGGCATCGCGTAGTATGATGTCAACATTTCATTGTCAGTATTAACATATGCATCATAGAATTAGATAATTAACCTCACCTTGGCATATTCTGACGCGCTGCGCTCGGTTTCAGGGACCTCAAAGAGCTCGGTATCGTCAAGATCGGCCATATCAAGCGAATACAGCAAGCCATCAAGGAAATTCGAAACACCCCTTAGCTGTAATCGTTCTCAGGGACTTGTCTGTGGTTTCTAGTTTGTTTTTATTCATTTACCCTGACTGTGTGCGTGACGCGATTCGGAGACTGCTTCGTATGACCAGAAACGGCCTGTGAGCCGAAAGTGTGAAACGGTTGGGCCAATTTCTAATTGTAAATTGAGTGTTTTTACCTCGTCTGTTTTATTTATATCGATGATGATCATGTTCACCGTCGCGTTCTGGACCAGTTTAGTGACATTCGCCGGCGTTCCTCTGAGCGCCGGCGGTGGTTTTAGTTCCCGTGTGGGACGCTCCGAGTGGTACCGGCGGCGCCGCGCCGGAGAGGGCTGTCTGTTCCCCGGCCCGGCGCCGGCCACCAGTGGGACTCGTGCCCAGTTCCTACACCTTGGTCTCAGTCGGCGGCACCGCGCCGCCGTGTGGGGTGGCACATTCCGGCGGCCGCCTCACCCGCCCCCGCCCCCGCTCCCGCATCATCTACCTCGTAGCCCGACAATGACAGAGAGAGCGGGAGATGGAGGACAGTCGTCCGCGTGCACCGCGCTGTCGCACAACTCGCCCCGGTGCACCGTGCTGTCTTTGGTGCGCGGCATTGATGGTCTTTAAGTGGGTTTTGTGTACCCCACTCAACCACGGTGCCGCCTTCGCTTCGGTCCTTCGCTGGCAATAAGCATGTGTGCGCACTGTCTGTATACCTACGCTTAGTATGTTTTTGAGAATGACCGCGGACCGGGTTGTAAAAATGAGTGTGTTTGGGGGCAGTGGGAGTGTAAAAAAGCGAGCTTTACGGGCGGAACGGAGTGTGTCTGGGTGAAGTTAATGTTACCGGGGATGTGAATTGAGCCCACTGAGGCCGGGTCGCCCGCCGCTCGGGCGTCTGACGGTCCCTCTGACCGACCTCTGTCTGCGAGAGGTGCGGCTCGGGATTCCTGTGTTCCCCGGCGATCCAGACCCGACATACAGTGTTCCGCGGCGGCCCCGCCGGACGCCTGTGCCCCTCAGGACCGGCCGCGGTGCCGGCTGCACGCCTTGTTGTTTCATACCACCGATATGATGGCCGTCAGTGATCGTTGTGCGGCTGCCTGACAGCGGTCCACTCTACTCCTATATCTGGGCCCAGTGCCTCTCTATCTCTGACATGCACGCGCCGTTTGTATGTGTGGGAATCTATGTACGGTTATAACTGTTGGGGTTTGTGGGTCTTTATATTTATTACCGTTTTAGTCATCTGACTTTGTACCGGCCCGCCGACGGTTTTACCCATTTACGCAGTTTGTGCAATATACGTGACACCTATGTGAGCGGATGTGCTCTGGATGAATTTTGAACACGTCGTTCCCGACAACTGATTGGCAGCCTGCGAACTCCTTGAAGCTAGCGTCGGGTCAGATTTATCTCATGGACGCGGAACACTAACGCCGGACCTCCATTTTAAACATACCTTTCTGTTTCGCGTCCCACTCTCCTCGCCCCACTCGCTGGCGGCAACTTTGGTCACCGGGCCTCGAATCAGTTCATAAAGCAACAGTTCCACGCGTTGACCCCTGGTTTAGACGGAAAACGGCAAAAGAGGTTGCCCTAACCCACCGAGATTAAGATGAATGGGGATCGGCGAGTATGTCAATTGTCAACACTCCTGGGCAGTGTTTCACTACAGCGCGCTACGAGTAGCGGTGTATTGGGTTTCCAAGGAAACATCAACAAACTAGGACGCTCGCAACGCTGAAGGGTCGTGGCGAATTCGTCGCAAACGCCGCACCAATACTGTAGCGCACTGCAGCGGCGTGCCAAGAAACAGAGCATAGGTGTTCCGACCGAGAGTTCGAACCTGGACCTGGCTGCCTTCGCTACGCTATGCGACTTATCGGTGATGTTAACGTACAAAAACGGGCCGATCTCTCAGGAACATCCTCCAGCAGCTCAAATGAGCCCATTTGAGCTCATTTGATTTGATTTGACCTTAACTCCTCTTCATCCACAAGTCAGCATTTTCAGTTGATGCCAAATTATGTATTACAAACGACCCATATAAATATTCTATCGATACAACTCCGGCGTGGAATCTGTCTCACACAACGAGAAGAGAACGCATCGAACATGGCGAGCACAAACGATGTCAGGATGAGACGCGAAGGCACAGGGTGCCCTCTGCCTGGTCCGCCCGGGCCGGCGGTCCCCGCGCTCTTAGCACCGCTCATGCTCTCCAATTTGGGCGGGTCGGACGGGCTCCCTCCCCAGCGCGGTGCGTGGCGCGCGCTGACTACAGATCACGTGCCGCTCTGTTGGCTGCGGCTCTGCCGGCTCGTCACTGAGCCGCTCGTCAGTCACTGGCGGCGAGTCACTGGTCATTTGGTCACTGGGCGGACGGCGGCCACCGCTCAGGACGGGTGGCCGGGCCGACTGCACGGCTCGATCTGCTGTCCCTGTACCCGCAGCGGGCTGGTGGGCGGCAGCGCGCCGACCGGCACCGGCGCCGGTTCCAGAACCACCACCGGTACGGGCGCCGAGGCCGCCAGGATGGCCGCCGCCGCCGGGTCGGGGCTGACCACCGGCACAGGGGTCGGGGCGGGGGTGGACGGCGGCCGCGCCGGGCGCGCCCGCTTCAGCGCCGGCAGGCTCTTGTAGCCGGGCCGGGCGGTGAGCGAGGGCCGGCCGGCGGCGGTGCGCGGCCGCGGCCGGCCCGCCGTCTCCGTCTCCATCGAGCTGAGGCCAGAGTCGGAAGACACGGTCCGGCTGGCCGACAGAGATGACGAGCTGCCGAGTATACGAGGGGGACGGTCAGACACTACAGGGTAGTGGGAAACACTAGGTGAAACATGCCACCCAAACGACAGTGATTGTCGGACTCAACAGGATTATAGCACTCTACAGAACACTCAACAGGATTATAGCAGGGTTAACAACAGGTTTAACCTTCGCCCCAGTGGGGGGGGGGGGGGGCATATGTTACCACCCTGTCGCGTTTTTTGCGTGTGAATAAAAAACCGCGGCGCCGCTTGGAGTAGCTTTTGGTACATCAATTTTGGACAATGTGTGAAATTTTTGACCCCAGGTCATGTCAGGTTAGGTCACCAGGTCAAGTTAACTGACCAAGCCTAAAAAAAAGTTTGCAATCATGTCAAGCCGGCAGTGTTTGTCAGAAAGGTTTTAAACTTGGTGGATTGCATGATGTTATGGGCGCCTACAACTTGTATATCTCGGATTTTTTATATGCATGACCTAAGGTCAGGTCAGTGGCGTGACCTTACCATTATAAGTCAATGGAGAAAAATGAAAATGCTTCTAGATCCGTGTGTACGCATAGGAACAGTCCAAATATTTCAGAATCACAATGATTTGGACCACCCGTGACGACCAAGGTGTTTTTTTTTTTTGCTGATAGCCTCTAGAAAGGTCATCTGAGGTCATTTGAGGCTACAAACAGATTTTTGCCAATAACTCTCGATTGGAAAGAGATAGGACGCTGGGGATGGCCTCATTGTGTTTGTCTTGTTGAGACGCATCGAATGATATGCAACATGACCTTTTCCGGTCAGGTCATGACCTTGACCTGAGGTCAAATTTTCAAGTTGACCTTTCAAGGTCAAATTATAGTTAATTCGACGCGTCTCGGCGAGAGGAACACGATTCTGGCAATAGAAATGTTGTGGCGTTTTTAAGTCAAAAGTTATTCTCGAAAAATACATTTCGTAAAAACAGCTATTTTTGGAGTTTTTGCCCTCTGGAGGCTAAACCGTTGACCTGAGGTCAATTTTGATAATGACCTTATCAAAAGAAGAGTTCAAAAGCTATCGATTGCTTTTCCATGCGTTTTTCTAGCTATCATAGTTCCTGAGATAAATGCATGTTTTCTGAGAAATACAATGACATTCGGCAAATTGTGACCTTTGATGACCTCCAGTGACCCCAATATTGCTCTAAGATGAAAAATGACCGAAATACTTTCAAACGTACACATTGAGAGCTATCGACTGCTTTTTACCGCGTCTTTCTAGCCCTCTTAGTTTTTGAGTTAGAGGTAGGTGGTAACATATGCCCCCCCCCCCCCACTAGGGCGAAGTTGGCTGAGACCGCCACTGGGGCGCGGGTTAACAGGATTATAGTTTTATACGTGCACGCTATCAAAAACAAAAATGCTTTTAATGTTCATTAGAATATGTGGAAAACATGTCCAGGCCAGATAGCTCGAGCGAATAACAGTCCTGTTTGACAGCTAGCATAGTCGCCCAGTTTTACATGGACACAGTGTGCTGTCCTCACCTTTTGGTGGTCCTGGCCGCGGCCGGGGTGGAGATGCTGGTGGCAGCCAGGAGGGCGGCTTTGCGCGCCGCCTCGGCCGCCGCCACCACCTCAGCCGTGAACGTCTGTGAAAAGTGGTGGCGTCAGTATGGAACCCTGAACAGCTCCCGGCGGATCAGACGGAAAATTCGGGTGTGTTCGGATCGCGGCGGAGCCGGAACTTCACCAGTGACTTCTATACGCAGGCGGCGAGTGCAAACGTCTATCTTGTAGCACACAAGTAATTGGTGCCTCGTTCCGCCACGCAAATGCGCTACTTTCGATAGTAGAGATATCGCGGTTAAACTAGCGCGGGTAAAGCAGCATCTACTTAATTCAACGGTTTGGCGAGTTTTATTTACGGCGGATAAATCGCTGGGAGTCCCAACGAGGCCGACCTTGCAAATTATAAAATAACATCTTACCACCAAGTAATAGCATTTACTCCTACACAACGGTGACAAACACTTGTCGCAAATCATGACCCACAGTACACACCAAGGCCTCCAGTCAAGGGCGTCTACATTTACAGCTCACAGTCATCGATAACAGATGCGCTCACTCAAACTCACTTAAGTACGTTGATGGTATCAAATACTTTCAGCTTGGTCCAGCCATCAGCTTCGGCGAGCATACAAAGACAGGCAAATTGCTGGTATGAGTTACTACGCTATCAAGTAACTTTTTTTCCTTAAACTTAACCTACCTCACTTGGTGACGGGCGCGTGCCGCGAGACCGCGACGGTGCGAAATATTATAAATACCCATAAAAAACTACTAACTTGGCAACTACTTCATGCAAGCAAACAAAACGCTAGAAGAGCCACACTGCCGAAGGATGTCTCGTTAACGCTGACCACAGCGCGAGTCAATAGGTACTGGAAGCAGAGCATGAGGGAAGAAATAAAGAAATGACGAAGGGATGAAAGGAAATGTGAAGGAACTCGACAGGAAGCACTGAAGCTAAATACGGAAACGGACGGAAAAGCGGAAAGCGAAACTGAAAGCGGACAGGGATAGGTAAGTCGGAGGATTGTAGCGGACTCACTGGGGGCTAGATATCCTCCGGGAAGGCCATGGTGGGCACGTCGAGCCAGCTCTGGCGGTACAGACAACACGTCCAGCGGTCGGCACGGTCCGGCGCCGCGCCGGCCGACGACACTACCTCAGCGCTCACACAGACTTGCTTCAAACACAGAAACAGAAACTCGCCTGTCTCGCGGGCAAAGAGAAACTCAGGCTTAGCATCGAGCACGGCGGTGCTTTTATGGACAGCTGTGAGATTCATAGAAGGAAGTGAAGAACCATGCTACCATGGTTTGAAAAAAATGATTACCAGCTGAATGAATTGGATCATAGGATAGCACAGGAAGCCGAAGAAATTAACCCCAGAGCACGCCAAGTAAAAGCTCCAACGACGCACGAAAGTCGTAAGTTCTATCCGCATCAGCGCGCAAAACTACCAGTTGGCATCCATTGGCCGCATCTAAATCTCTAAATGTTTGTCACTTCTATCCTAACCGGCTCGTCCACACCACTGATCCGTACCTTTCTCCGTAGGTAGTTGCTGGGCACGTGCAGGTGGTACTTGTCCTGACAGAGGCTGCGCAGCCGGCCGCGGCCCTGTTCGCGGTCGCGGCCGTACTTTGTCTCCCAGGCGTCCAGCAGTCGATTGTAGTAGCGCGGCTTGTCAAAGTACTGGTGGTAGTGGTGAGTGCTCGCAGTCGGAAAGATGCGCACAAAACTGTGGAGATACGAACATGAGTGATGTAAGACAATACGCTTGAGGCCGCGTAAGACGAAGAGGCATCCACAGAGAAGAAGCTTGCAATACATGGCATGAGACGACCAGCTTCAGGCCGCAGTTCAAGCATCAGGCAGGCCCGCTCGCGCCAGCAGCCGTGTGTCTGATAATTACGTACCCGCCTCGCTTGCTGAGTTCATCCTCTGACCGGACCAGATGGCGCACGTCGTCCGGCGTCAGACACTCCAGGATCTTGGTCAGGTACTGTGGACCACAGATGACACGGTCAGCGAAACATAACCAAAAGAATGCGTTCAATAACAATACCAGCAATGGGAAACATCTACAGTGCAGTTCAAAGATTACTCAACTGAATGTTGCTGCGTTTCTATTAATTAAAAAAACAACAACAGCCAAGGCCAGGCCTTATTTCTTCTGGACACGGACAATACGCAGTCTTAGCTAAATGTATTCAACAATGCACGGTATTGTAAGTTCGTCGTGGATTGCTGACTCACCATCACACCGAGATGCCTTCTCACCACGCCGCGGTCCCCTCACCTGCGTCCTGTCCAGTTTGAGCATCTCGGTCTGTTTGGTGCGCTCCTCCTGACTGCAGACGCTCGTGTAGAGCCGTTTGTCGAGCACCAGCCGCTGCAGCGCCTCGCCGCACGACAGCTGCCCGATGACCTCCCGCTGCTGCTCGGCAGACAGCTTGTTGGGCACGTGGAAGCCGGCCATGTTGAAGAGGTCCCTCACCAGCGGGCCCTTGACGCTGAGGTCGACCGGCGCCGCCGAGTGCAGCGACGGGCTGATGTTCACCTGCGGGGGAGGAGAGGGGGAGATGTTACGGTGCCGTTCACACATTCTTCTAGGTGGGACATCGCCGAGGTCCGCACCGTCACAGCTAATTTCATCTTCATATCACCTTCATTCACCACATATCACCACAAATCACCTTTTGCCTTTGCATAACTTAATTCCACAGCCAAATCACAGCGCAAATACACAGTTGATCATTGCACTCAAAGCTTTTCGCTGATTGAAGAAAATAATGCTACAATCAGCTGCAATCGCCGCTATCTAAGCCACTTCACTCGGCTTACCTCCAGCAGCCAGGGCCGCAGCTTCTCGTCGAGGAGGACGTCGAAGCCGAACAGCTCGTGACAGCAGTAGTTGGAGACGACGTGCTGCCGCGACAGCGACAGGATGTGGTGCTCGCCAGCAATCAGCGTCTTGAGCACCATGTCGATGATGCGTCGCCACAGGGCGTCCGTGTCCACGCCCCGCTCGCGCATGTACGCCCAGAACACCTTCAGCGTCCTGAAACGCCGCGCAACGGGGTTAGGTGAGAATTGGGCTGCAGCTTTTCACGATCAGAGGCCTCTTGCACCAAACTACCTAGCTAGGTAAAATCGAAAAACCGGTTTCAGAATAAGCTAATGTAATGGTGGTAAATTTGTTTGCAATAGCCCAATACATAATCCTACATGTGCTTGCTAAATTTTGCACGCAAATTGTTGCATTTGAGACTTGGACTGGGTATACGATGCAAAATAATCCAAGCATTGGTGCAAGAGGATTTTGGTGCAAGAGGCCTCAGGAAACGATCTAAGCCAAAAAGTACATCGACCTCGCATTAAACGGCCACCAAATTATTCAAATGGATGTTAACTGAGCTAGCCTGCTAGATGCCGGATCTGACTCTGCGACATTTTGTATGCTTGTGTTTAAAGGCAAATGCTATGTCGTATCAGAGTAAAGCACTGCGGCTGGCAGCCTGCCATAATTGACCCTCGTCTTACCACTTGTGTCCCTGGCAGAGCTCGGCGTCGTTATTGGGCTGGTAGGCGTCCGAGTTCTTGTTGATGCTGTAGTTGGTCAGGTGCATGAACCGATCGGACAGCGTCTTCCCGACATTTGAGTACTTCACTGCAATACGGACCAGTCGCGGGACAGAACGGTGTCAGGTGACAGTAAAGGGATGGGACAGGGGCGGGGCATACTTGTTTCCCAAATTTGCCGAGGCCGGCGACTGAATCCGATTTCATTGTGATATTGGAAAAAAAATCATAAGTATATATAGAGAAACTCAGTTGAACAAAGTAATTGTTCCCTTATTGTCTAATAATACCGGTCACTTCACCATATCAAGGGGATGAAAAAAACACTGAACAAAAAATATTTGCAATAATGAGACTGTAATTAAGCCAGCCCATAGCCATCATATGTCACAGAAATACGCACATGACATTTACTTTCACTCACATTCAGTTGATTCAAATAAATGAGAGCACCTGTTGTCACGTTAATATGATAGCGCACATTCTCAATTGCGCGTCAAAGCAATACGACACTCGAAAGGCGTCAGCCACCACAAAAACGCCGCCTCCACCCACTACAAAAACCCGTCCGAGCCACCGCCGCCCCCTCCCCGCCGCTCACCGGAGGCGAACCGAACCAGGCCGTCGTCGTGGATGTAGACGCGCAGCGGGTGGAAGCTGGTGACGTACACGTAGATGCGGAGGTCGAACTTGCGGTCCTCGATGAGGTACGGCCGGCTGACGTACCGCTGCACGATCAGCTGCTTCTTCTTGGGCAGCTGCGACCAGCGCTGGATCACGCGGATACCCGTACCGCGCGCACACGCCGGCTGGGGGCGGCCGGGGAAGCGGAGCAGTCAGAGAGAGAACGATCAGTCAGGGAGGCCGGACGGTCAGAGAGGCGACGGTCACGGGTACGAGGAGAGGGGGTTTGGTCAGGCGGTCGGGGTCACTGAGGGTCAGGTCGAACTTTAGGGAATGGGTCGGGGGGAGGAGAGGCGGGGAAGGAGAGGGAGACAGATTGTAGAAAATGTGCCGGGCAAGACTCAGCCAGGGTGAGGATCGAACGACAGCCAAAACTTTGCTAAAGCATCACAGAACAAAACATATTACATTTTGCATGTTAGATGTAGGGAGGGAAAATCATGCAACTGTGACATTTAAAGGCTATCATTTACTTCAACGTAAAAGCTTTACAAGTGTCATATTGCATGCGTGACATTCTGGGAAAAGGCAGACCATCGGTAGTTACTTGTAGGAGTCGACGCTACCGTTGTTTCTGGATAGGACTAAACTTTTCAAAAGTTTCAGCATAGACAAAGAATGAACCGTTGTCACGCCAGTGCATGAAAAGTGGATGTCCATGGAATAAAATTTCCGATTCCTCTTATGCCATACCAGAGACCACTATATATAGATATATAGTGGTCTATGGCCATACACAACCGAACTTTGACATCTTTCCCCAAAAAGAACAGGATTCATCAGACGGTAAATTTAACCTAAATGTCAACACGACTAAGTACGTAACAGACACGAGGGTGACCTATGCTATACAACCAATAAGCCCGAAGTCGGACGAAAACAGACAGCCAGACAAGAGTACGTTTATCACACAGTAACAAAGTGCGCTCGCCGCTCTTAAGCTGGACCGTGGCAGTTACCCACCGGTTTGATGATCCACTTCCGTTTGCCGCCGTCCCGTCGCCACGCAACCTTCAGCTCCTTCAGGTCGGTGGGCAGCACGTACGTCCGCGGCACGAACCCAAAGCTGGAGGCGGGGGGTAGCGAGAGGTCAGGCCCGCGCTCAGACATAGTGGAAACTACAGCGTCGAGCTGCATATGTCGCTGGCCAGACGTTACTATACAGTTATAGGATTACGAACAGCCATGCCATCGAATCTAAACTTGTCTGTAAATAGCCAGTTGCAAAAGACCCGCATGAAGACTTGTAGTCAACGCACAGTCAAAATCGCTCTAAGTTCACATTTCTGCACCATAGTTTTCACTCACTCGTTTTTGCCGAACTTGATCTGCAGTGCTGAGATGTTCTTCCAGAGCTTGTCTTTGCGGCCGATCTGGAAGGTGCCCGGGAAGTGGTTGACCTTCTGGAAGTCGCGCACCGCCTTGAAGCACTCGGCCTTCATGTGTTTGCCCCAGGTGCCGACCCAGTTCGGCGTCTCTGCAGCAGAGGGCAGGTATCCTGAGGACAGAGCCACTCACAGGTCAGCGCCATCCGCACAGTGCACTCGGCCGGACCTCCGGAAGCTGCTGAAATAAAAACAACAGAAAGCTGAGCTGAGGCGAAGCGATAACGCTAGATTATCTATTCAGAGGCAGGCAAACCAAACCGAACCCCGAGTGAAGTGTTACTGCGTCTGCTAGCGGCGGCGGCAAGGAGCGTTATACCTGGGACGTTACCCGACGGCAGGCTGTTCATCAAATACCTCCCCGAAACAGGTCTCCGCCACTGCGTGTCAAACGTTATCCGTCAGTCAGGTAGCAAAAATTACATCAAAACTGCACCGAGTTTACGCCAACAATCAATATGCTATCCGTATAAATGCTCGTCACGTAAGCAAGACTACCCAAACAGTTAAAATATATACCAAATCTAACTAGACAGTGAATCGACAGTGTTCAATGAAGAGCAGGGGTAAGGCGTGGCACAGGCGACAGCAGCTGCCGGGTGAAAGGACAATAAGAAGACACTACACTGATGGAGAAGGTAGCATCACCGGGTGTCGGAGAGAGGAGTAGGATTGAGAGTGGAGCAGAGAGATGGGGAGGGCGTATAGCGCGGAGAGCCGGGCGACTGGAACTCACTTTTGGTGAGTCGGAGGCCCGAGTTGGTGATGGTCTGTCGCACCAGCTGCGGAGTGATGGTGCTCAGACGCCAGCGGAGCAGCCGCTTCACGGCCGCCGGTAGGTCCTCCGTCTGTACGGACAGAAGCACACATCACAAACTAGGCAGTTACGAGCTCGCATCACAGGGACAAAGTCGTGACACCCTACAGTTAGTAACAATCGAGAAAACTACCGAGGGAACACCCACAAAGATGGCTGCTCAGTGCTCAGTGCTCAGATCCACCGAAGTGCACTGATACATTATGCCATTTAGTATTTACCCTCCCAAGGCTCAATCCTGAACCATTCGATCCGCTTCGCCGCACCCTAGCAGCCCGCAAAGATTCGGCTATCAGAACACAAACATTGGAATCCAGTGTCGTACCTTTTCGTTGTACTGGCAGAAGTTGATGGTGGGCGGCACGTGCGGGAACAGGCTGAGGTGGAGCGCCGGCAGGTCGGTGCCGGGCGCCGCCGGCGTCTCCGTCAGCGAGATGCCGCCTAGCGTCTCGCCGACCAGCGAGGGCGTCAGGGACGACACGGAGGCCACCGTCATGCCGCTCATCACAGAGTGGTTGTCTGCGGACGGACGGGACGCGAGGTTCAACCTCACGGCTCGGAGGGAAGACGCACGTTCGAACGAGACTTATTTATGAGCCAATACAATGCTACATATAATTCGATGTTCCGTTTTGGAAAATGTGTTCAGCTAATTGAGAAAGTGCAGAAACGCTTACCTTCATAGTCGGAGGCGGAATCGTCTCCATCGGCGAAAGGGTTCGCTTTCGAGCTGTCATCGGCGTTTTCGGGGTCGCTCAGATCGCTAATATCAGAGTAATCGTCCTCGTCACTGAAAATACAACAATGCGTTACCCAAGGTGTTGCAGTGGAAATCACACGCGTGACTACGTACAGCATGGTTAGCAAGTTCAACTGAGCAACACAACTCTCGTCTAAGCAGTTCTTAAGCAAGCGGTGAAGACTGAGATAACAAGGCTAAGTACTGACGTGGCGACCATTTAGTTATGGCAAAAAGTTTCGCCGGGACGCCACTGCGTTCTCAGCAGCTCTCGCCTTACCTGCCGAGGTCCGAGTCGCTGTACGAGTCCGCCTTGCTGGTGTCGGCCTTCTCAGCTGGCGCCGAGCCGGTCTTGGCCTTGGTGCGCGGCTCGCGCTCGACCGGCTGCGCCACGCCCACATTGCGGAGGACGCTGGCCGGATCCGAGTCGAGGAACGACGGCGGCTGGGTCGGCTGGAGCGCGTCAAACGTCAGAACATTTAACGGGATGACATTGGAACATATTTCATGCCTAAGTTAGGAGCAAAAGGGACTGTGCCAAAGTGATATAGTTATTTATATAAGCATTTGATAAACATACACGCCCTTGTAGATTTATCGACGATGATAAAGGGTCATACCTGAAAGCCACATGAAAACGACAGAGATGTCAATGCAACGCAAACATCTCGTTAAAACAAAGCACAATAAACACATCCCGTCAGTGTCCACCCCTCTCTCACCTGGTAGAGGAGCCGAGGTGGCGCGGACGCCCGCGGCGACTGTGCCGAGGCCGGACTGTGGACCGGCACTGGTGCCGAACTGTGCACTGGTGCTGGTGCCGGACTGTGCACCGGCGCCGGCGGCGGGGGCGTCTCGGCCACTGGGGTCGGACTCGGCGCGGCGGCTGGCGGGTCTCCGACGCCGTTACTAGCCGCCGCCTCGGGCCTGTCGTCCATCTCCGGCTCGGCGCTCGGTCCGTCCAGCGTGGCCGCCGTCGCCGCCGGCTGGTCGTCCTTCTTCCTCTTCGTCACCGCCTCCGGCACTTTGGCCGAGTCGCCGAAGTCGCACACGTCTCGGATCCGCTTCCCGTCCTTGGCGGTGGGGGCGGCCCGCGGGCCGGCCGACCGCGCGCTCGGCTCGGCCGCCGCCGGTCGCGTGCTGGGGGCGAGCGCGGCCAGCGGCGCCGGCGGCCGGCCGGCCGGACCGAGCTGCGGCGCCGAGCCCGAGACACGCGGCTCGCGCGCCAGCCGCACCGAGCAGCCGGGCACGCGCGGCTTCAGGCAGACGGGGATGCCGGCGGCCGGCAGCGCCAGCTCGGAGCGCGCGCGGCTGGCGCACTGTCCGCACGTGGCGCCGCACTGCAGGCAGCCGATGCACGTGACCACAGAGGCAGACATGGAGGAGCCACCGACGCCGCACCAACTCAACCCTCTGCCAGCAAGCAGACGACAGAACAGTGGGTCAGTTAGTCTGCTGTCGGTTAACATTACTATTGACATTAAGTGCTCAGAATGTGGTTGCTAGCAGCCCAAACACTTGGCATGCAAAATACATCCCATCATCTATGCCCAAAAAGACCATCTTGATGATTTTAGCTTCAATGCATTCGTTTCACTCAAAGCAAAACATTTAAGAGACTTCATCTGGAAAAATTATAGCAATATTAACTCTTACACAAGCATGCCATCAAGGGACAAGAGTTCATTACAAACACAACTTGATCAAGTCTGCTATTTACTTTTATTTCCATAAAAAAACTAAATAGGGTCTTCCCAAAAAAAACTTGGATCAATGAATATGTTAAGATTTTTAGGCATTAGATAATCATATGAACTTTTTTATGCTTATCAAATCTGCATTAATCAAAAATAAGTTGACCCTTCCCTGCAAATTGGATTAGATGTTATGAACTTATTTGTGACTAGGAAAGTATAAACTTGTGACATTAGATGCATAAGGTAGGTAGGAACAGTAGCAGTGCCAAACTGGGCTCTTACATCAAAATTTACATATAGTCAGTTGATTAATAAAGAGGCCATGAAATTTGCAAAACCAAAATGAAGTCCCTAACACATTCAATTTTCTCAGCATCATTACTAACTTTCCTTTTCTTAACTTTTTACATTCTTACCATTAAATAAGTTGAATGTGGAGCCATTCCAGAGCAATCAGAGGTTTTAGGGAAATAATGAGTGCCTCTCAACAAAGCAGTATTAGATACCTTGACCTTTGCACTTGAATTTCTTTTGGCAATAATGGTTACCAAACTGACAATAAATGGATGAATTTTCAGCAAACTTTTGTACATCAGCTAAAACATACTTGATTACCATCAGCAGCATGATAGGAAGTAGAATAAACAGGCATGTCTTTAGACAATTTTCAGTTTATCTTTTAAGACTAGATAATTTGGTAAATGGTCAAATTATAACACAGAGTACCTACATCTTGAACTGCATTCCTTCTACACCTCAGCCTGTAACTCAGGTAGGTTCAGTCTTATAGTGGCCACTCAGAATTGCAAGACCATACATACGAGTACCTACAACCCTTCTCAGTTGGGGAAACTACGAGGCGAATGTCAAAAATGGATTGGTCAATAAATGGACTTTTGATGACCATATATGGGCATAAATGCAGCCCCCGCTACTAAGGGTGAAAAACGGTATAACAAGCTGGTACTTGCGGTATGGCGTCCACTTATTGGAGAGAAAAAGCTTCCATTTTTCACTAGGAATTAGCGTGATTTGATTACATTCGGCGAATTGACCCGAAAATGACGATAGGAAAACGGCTTTTCTGCAGGTTCTGGGCGTCACAATCAGCTGGCCATTCAATAAATAGATTGGTTTTATGAAAGAAAATTGTTAAAAGATTTAATTTAGTTACAATAAACAAAGACATTTAATTTTAAAATAATAACTTAACCACAATTAGAAAAACCATAAACAAAATAATAAAAATAATGACATTTTTAAGCCACGGTACTGCTTACATTTTTTGGCGCGTCTGTTTCAATCCGCCATATTTGCTAATCACGGTTTGACCTTGCGTTGTAACTCTGCGATTTAGAGCCGCCAATTAATTATGCACCGGGTGAGTGGAGGCCTTGTGTGGTTAAAAAACATTCTTATGCCTTATTTTTTCATTTAAATGCTAAAATTTGTTGAAAAGATGAAGTTGTCTGATTTTATGACCATATATGGTCATCGCCCCGCCCACTCCAGCCGCTGATTGGCTAATCCAATTTTTGTTTGGCTCCTCGTAGTTTCCCCAACTGTTCTACTCAATAATAAAAAAATAAGTTGATACAGATCAAGCATTTGAAAATACAAGTTCCCAGTGAATTTTGATACATATCCAGCATGATCAATGTAAAGTTTACTCCTACCACATGACAAAGCTCTTGCATTTATGGCAAGATCAAAAATACGCTTCCGTTTTTGTTTTGCTTAGGCCAGTCTGAGTCGTCTGAATCGTCCTCGGTTATACTCGGGAATCATTGATTATACTGAAGCAACAATGTACACACAGCAATTCTTATGAATCTTACCAAATTATTCTTCAGGATTCGTGGCCCCAGCAATGAAATAATTAACAGGAAAACGGATTATACCGCCATGCCTTCCAGCAGCACAACTCTCGTGACGGATCCCGCGCAGATTGCCTCGGAGACGGAAGTTCAGGAACTTTGCACTTCGTTTGGAACAGCTGACCGAATAAATCAGCTGTTGTGGTTTATAGCAAAAAATGTTTATACAAAGTTAAAATTGATTTGTCTTAGGTCTTGTAAAATTTTGTATGGAATTCGAATTTTATTAATAAATAAATCCAACAAAATTATAAAGCCACATTTTTGTGCTAAACATGCATTCTGTTTCTCAAGGTCATCGTTAGCCAGAAAACGCCAGACGTATGGAAAACGCTAACTTGTTACTATTTTCAAAATGTTTGGTAATTTTATTTTAAATTACACAAACTGCAAAATTCATTTTTCATTTCATCAATTTATAGAAAATAGCCTAACAATGGTAAATAAAAACATATTTTATAGCCCGGCTAACTATTATCAAAAGATCTCAAGGCCAATAGGCAAAGGCTTGAAATTGTTACGTTTCCGACGAGGATTGTATCTCTTTGTCGCAAATAGCTGTAGATTGATAACATGGGACCCTTAACTAGAGTCTTTTGTTACCTTTATTGTGAAATTGCATGGTAAATTCATCAATAAATTGTTCAAAGTTCTCAGTAAATTTCAAAAGCCATCTGTGAATGTGACAGATGATCTAATTATTTTGCCTAGGCTCTCCAGTTCAGTGTCTGCAGTCCGACACTGACATTTCAACTTCAATTCACACTGATACCGGCTACCGTGTCATGATGATTTTGTTATCTTTTGTTGGCGACATATGAAATATTTAAATAGAGTGAAGTAGTGTGTATTTGTATACTTATCGTCTTGAGGTAAGTATGTAATTCTTTTGTTTTGAATTTTATGTGGGGAAACTGTAACATGTCCCGAGCTCTGTTCGGTCACTTTTTTATCAGCATGCTGTTGGTTTTCCCATATAGGGAAGTTATTGCTGGCACTTCTTGGCCTCTCATTGGTCAAATGTATAGACCACATGAATTCGACCAATGAGGAGCCAAGAAACAGCAGTATCTGTATGCCTGCACGGCCTCGCAGCCTGCTGATAAAAAACTACAGCAGAACAGTGCCCTTGACTAGCTGACTGAGCATGATCTTCAATAGTATGAGTTGCCTAATTGTAATTGATGCCAATAATACTGAAAGATGGTAAGCATGTCAAGGAAGAAATATAACTGCATTGCCAGTCTTGATAATGCATTGAACTCCCAAAATGGTATTGATAAGATGTCGGTCAAAGCATGTAGAGAACCATTACAATGCTTTGTGCCATTGAATATGTATATGAGGTATGGATGAGATACAAGACATTCAGTAGTATTCCTTTCTCTATATACCTATGCACCAGAAGCATGAGTTGACAGGTTGAGTGTCTTGCAAACCTCTAAACTTGAAGTTGTCATTAAGGGAAGCAAGCTAATTTGAGTGATACTACTTACTTTGTGGATCATTTTTATGGAATCTATGAATTAAGCTCCTGCGATTTTTATGAAACATTTCTGAGATACTAGATAGTGACCTTGAGCATTGAGCAGCCTCAATATTGAGGTGCTATTTGCTAACGCTGTGCTGTTTTACAGAGGATGGAGGACGGCAAGGCAGCTGAGGCCAGCATGGATGAGAAGTCCACATGCAAGCTGGAGTCAATGCTGAAGGAGCTGGTCAGCTACAAACATGCTGGAGATATGTCAGAAATGTCCCCAGAGGTTCAGGTGTGTAGCATCTTGTGCTAACCACTTTATACATCATACAATACTGTCATGTCATGTCATGTTTTACATTGTATTGTATTGTTACGCTACCTGAGTTATTATTGTCAGTGATCTGAGCACCGTCGCTCACCGTTGTGCGGCCGCTGACTGGCAGACGCTGCTTCGGAGGGAGGAGGAGTGTCAGGCGCGCGAGGAGGCGCGCTACGCCGCCCGCCGGCTCAAGGGCCGCCGGCCGCGCGAGCGGCGCCGGGGCCGAGACGCCGATCAGAGTGCCGCCGGACGGGGCCACTCGCTGGACAATATGGCTGCGGAGAGCCGCGCCGGTACCGCCGAGAGCAAGACGAAGGGCGTGGCCGGACGCACCGCCGAAGGTACGGGCGGTAGGGGAACTGGGGTGTGTTCGATGTGGGTGAGTAGTTAGATTGATGTTTGCTACTGTGGGCTGTGGCGTCACAGTCTTGCTGTGGTGCTCAGGATTCCACTCTGTGGCAGATAGATGGACTGGTAAGAGAAGGAGGAGTACTTGCAGTACTCTGCTGTCTGTTATAACTTTTTGATTTATAGATTAGCTGCGACATGGTCGTTGACCTTGCACTGTAGTTGCATTGTTGGCTTAATTTCCGGCGATAGTTATCATTTTTAATCAAATGTGAAGTTTGGCAGTCGCTTTAGCAGTAAATGGTAGTTGCTTTCACGTTTTTCAGCCGTACCGTCGATGTACCGTACCGTACCGTGAAGCTGCCAGTCATTGACTGATCATGTGTCTGTCCCCGTGGCAGGCGGCTCCTGCTTCAACCTGTCTCGCGGCTCGTTCGAGCCGGCGCTGCGCCGTCAGCGGATACAGCAGGCCGGCGGCTCGCTGGAGGACCTCAGCGCCATCGACGAGTCCACAACGGGTCTGGAGTCGGCGGCAAAGTCGGGCGGCAGTCTGCAGAACCTCAGCCAGCAGGCGGACCAGCCGCCGGCCGCGGAGGCCGCGCAGAGCCCTGACGGCACGGCGGCGCCCACCGAGCAGCAGGCGGCGCCCGGCCGTCCAGACGCCGCCGCCACCGTGGTCATCCAGATGTCGGGCGTCGGCGAGGACAGTGACGACGACTCGGCCGCCCGGCTGGCCGTGCGCGCCCTGGCCGCTCCATGTGCCGCCGAGGAGGCGCCCGAGCGCGGCACCAGTCTGCGCGAGCGGCCGCGGCACACGCTGTCGCTGGAGGAGGGCGGCGGCGCGCTGCAGGCGACCGTGGCGGCGGTGGCGGCCGAGGTAGCCACCGCGGCCGCCCGGCGCCAGGCCAGCTCCGAACTGGAGCCCAAACGGGTCAGTGACGCCTTCAGTGGCTGATGGTGTGTGGGGAGAACGAGTAGAATGGTTAAGTGTCGGCGCTGAACTGAATGCCATGTACTTTTGTTATATACAGCTTTCAGGTTTATCAAGGCAAATATTGATTTGGTAGGTGCTAAAGGAATCACCTCTGCAAAAGCGGCCTCGCTTGCAGAGGTGTAAGATGCTGTTAAGCTGTCATCGTGTTGCAGAGCGCTGCCGCCCCCCTTTCACCTGTGTGCTTGTCTCTGCCGTTTTCAGAAGCGCTCGACGGCCCCCACAACCATTGACCGCGGCGTGCTGCGCTGTGTGAACGCGGAGGATCTGCCTAAAGGTGAGTGGATTGTGCACGGTTATGGCGAGAAGCGTTTTTGGCAGACGGTGAGGGGGTTTGGGCGTGTTGTACATATGTGTGATGGTGTCCGGTAAAGCACTGACTTAATTGCTGCATTTTGCTTGGCTTTCATGGGCATTCACCTTGTTGATTTCTTTTCCAAGTAACATGATCAATATTATATACATAAATTGCATATTACTGATCTGAATAACCCTGTCCGATCCTCGGTTCGATCGCGCTGATTTATTCTCTATTTTCTTTTCCAGCCGCCCTGCTGATGGCTCGCAGCTGTGGACAGGTACAGGTAAGGAGCTGCCGAATCTTCAGCCGTCTTAACTCTCCCAAACCACAACATCGGTTTGGGAGAGTTTACTGATCGGTTTGGAAGCCAGTACTATGCCTGCATTGGATCCTTTTAGATAGAGGTCGGTTGTCATCAATGGTCGTGCCAGCATTTGGACGTGCCGTATTGGCAGTCAAGTTTGTCTTCTTCCCTCTGTTGCAACTTACAGCGCCTGGGGTACGGGGTAGTGTTGTCCGTATAGGTTCTTCCCGGCCGGCCGGTGCAGATGATATGACTGAGCGGTCGGTCGGGGTTTGTTTGGACGGGTGATTCGACGATAGGGGATACGATCCTGAGCAAATATTTGGCCCGATGGATTTCATTCTGCCGTCCAAAGGAGAAGAAGCGTATCTCGCATTTTCCTGAATTTTATTTTTTTATATCATTAGATGCAGAATTTTAGGCTCTATCTCATACATACCTATAGAAAAAAAATAAAATCTACATTTCCCCAAATTTTGGGTTTATAATTATCCAAAAAGCGTATATGCAAAACGGGAGCAGCAGGAACCAAGGAAGAGAAGCGTATCTCACTAAAATAACGCGCATATGATCACAATGGACGTTTATCCCAAAGAAGAAAAGCGTATGTGCGTACATACGCTTTTCTTGCTTTGTGTCCCTTTGGGGGAACGTACATGCGCTTTTTAGACGGCATAGTTCCGAACGATAAAACAACGGGAAAAAAGCGTATGTCTGTACTTGCGCTTTTATTGCTTTGTTTTGCCGACAGCTTTGGTATGATGCGCTTTTTATCAACGCGAACTTCCGTTACATCACACAACATAAGTTGACGTGCTTTAAGTTAGCGATTTCTTGTCGTACGTTAATTGTTCAATAAAATTAAGTATTTTATATCTAGTATCTACCCTTGAATAATAATATAAATTGTATAAATTTGGGCTAGTGCGGTAGGCATAGCGTATCGGATTAACATTTTTGTAATTAGATCCAGCCAATAAAACATTTAAATGCCAGCGCGTGCACGCCGGATCTTTAAATCTGGACATTTAAATCTCGCTGCAGTGTCGGCGTCCTAGCGCCGCCGTGTGGGCGTGTCTGCGGCCATGACTGGAAGAAAGCGGTCCCAATTAATACCCAGAGCTGAGTGCAAGAGGCGAAATGGACTGGTGCATGTGCTTGTCACGTGGGACGATCAAAGCAAGGGAGAATCGCATTTCGTACCGATTTCCCAGCTGCGCTGTCCGACACCCCTTGAAGGTGGCGCAAGAGTTACCATGAGGCATTCGAAGCGTACAATTTCGGTCAGCGAACGACACAAGGCTGCACCTTCCCTCGTTCAAGGTAAGCACACTTAACTTAATATATATGTAAAAGTAAACACAAGAAGTGTTTAATTGAATATCACACTCGTAGTTTCGGCACAGGACTTGGATAGGAACCTTACTAACTGCGCCTGCCCAAGTATGGCTTGTGCTGTACCTTATTCCTCGCACAGGCTGGGTTATGCTGGACTTGACAGTGCTAAGTAGTTGAATAGCATTGCAGACATGGTACCATGCTCCATGATTCCCAGGTGACTGGTGTAAGCTGCTGGGCCTGCACGCAAGCCGGAATTTTAGGAATCAACCTTTTAATTGTTAGTTGAATCTAAACATTGACATTCCGTAACGATGTTTAACTTTTTTCATCTGAAATTCAGGACTGACGAGAGTTCTTCCGGCATCCGAAACCATTACTGTCTTTGACAACCTTGTACCGCTTTTTCTTAGATGAAGCCGACTACGAGCCTTCCGCTAAGATGCCCAGGACCGCCCCCACGGCAAAGCAGGACCCAGCGCCGCCGGCACTGCCGGCACCGCAGGACCCGGCACCGCCGGCACGGCAGGACCCGGCCCCGCCGGCACCGCAGGACCCGGCACCGCCCTCACTGCCGGCATCGCAGGACCCGGCACCGCCCTCACTGCCGGCACGGCAGGACCCGGCCCCACCGTCACCGCAGAACCCGGCCCCACCGGCACCGCAGGACCCGGCCCCGCCGGCACCGCAGGGCCCGGCACCGCCGGCACCGCAGAACCCGGTCCCGCCCTCACCGCAGGACCCGGTCCCGCCCTCACTGCCGGCACCGCAGGACCCGGCCCCACCGGCACCGCAGGACCCGGCACCGCCGGCACGACAGGACCCGGCCCCACCGGCACCGCAGAACCCGGCCCCGCCGGCACGGCAGGACCCGGCACCGCCTGCACCACGAGACCCGGCACCGCCGGCACGGCAGGACCCGGCCCCGCCGGCACCGCAGGACCCGGCACCGCCCTCACTGCCGGCATCGCAGGACCCGGCACCGCCCTCACTGCCGGCACCGCAGGACCCGGTCCCGCCCTCACTGCCGGCACCGCAGGACCCGGCACCACCGGCACCGCCCTCACTGCCGGCACGGCAGGACCCGGCCCCACCGGCACCGCAGGACCCGGCACCGCCGGCACGGCAGGACCCGGCCCCACCGGCACCGCAGAACCCGGCCCCGCCGGCACCGCAGGACCCGGCACCGCCGGCACCGCAGAACCCGGCCCCGCCGGCACGGCAGGACCCGGCACCGCCTGCACCACGAGACCCGGCACCGCCGGCACGGCAGGACCCGGCCCCGCCGGCACCGCAGGACCCGGCCCCGCCGGCACCGCAGGACCCGGCACCGCCCTCACTGCCGGCATCGCAGGACCCGGCACCGCCCTCACTGCCGGCACCGCAGGACCCGGTCCCGCCCTCACTGCCGGCACCGCAGGACCCGGCACCACCGGCACCGCCCTCACTGCCGGCACGGCAGGACCCGGCCCCACCGGCACCGCAGGACCCGGCACCTCCGGCACGGCAGGACCCGGCCCCACCGGCACCGCAGAACCCGGCCCCGCCGGCACCGCAGGACCCGGCCCCGCCGGCACCGCAGAACCCGGCCCCGCCGGCACGGCAGGACCCGGCACCGCCGGCACCGCAGGACCCGGCACCGCCGGCACCGCAGGACCCGGCACCGCCCTCACTGCCGGCATCGCAGGACCCGGCACCGCCCTCACTGCCGGCACCGCAGGACCCGGTCCCGCCCTCACTGCCGGCACCGCAGGACCCGGCACCGCCGGCACCGCCCTCACTGCCGGCACGGCAGGACCCGGCCCCACCGGCACCGCAGGACCCGGCACCGCCGGCACGGCAGGACCCGGCCCCACCGGCACCGCAGAACCCGGCCCCGCCGGCACCGCAGGACCCGGCCCCGCCGGCACCGCAGAACCCGGCCCCGCCGGCACGGCAGGACCCGGCACCGCCGGCACCGCAGGACCCGGCCCCGCCGGCACCGCAGAACCCGGCCCCGCCGGCACGGCAGGACCCGGCACCGCCGGCACCGCAGGACCCGGCACCGCCCTCACTGCCGGCACCGCAGGACCCGGCACCGCCAGCACTGCAGGCACCGCAGGACCCGGCCCCGCCGGTGCATATTACAGCACATTATTAGTACCATCGGTGTGCTCATGTACATGCTTTAAGAAGAGAGCAGTTTTTGTTTCGTGAAGGTCATTAGCACTAAAAGGGGACATTCATGTTCAGTTACCTCACAAACCCTGTGAAAAAACTGAACGGTTTCCTGAAGGTTCTAGTGCAAGCAGCATTGTTTTAATCCGTGTGAACTGCATGGACCTCTTTTTTTTTGTATTTTTCTCTTTCGTGTGAAATACATGGACATGTTTTCGAAAGCTGTTGTTTCGGTGGCCTATTAGGCTGACATGACACATATTGACGGAAGTATAAATTTGCAATAAACGATTTTTCAGGACAAGAATAATCCTGGGTAGCGCAAATGTTTCACTTCCGGTCATAGAAAGGCAAAATGAAGAAACGTATCTGATATTCAGAATATCTTTGTGCCACATCAGAAAAGCGTATCTGCGTAGATACGTTTTTTATTCATTGCACTTTCAATGAATTTTACAGAATCGGCGTAGATACGCTTCGTGCATCGAAGACAAGAAACGAAGATGCGCTCATTGTTTGTACATACGGTTGAAGCGTATCTGCATTGGCATCAGCCGAACAAAGGTGAAATAAGCGTATCTACTTTCTTCGATGTTTATATCAAATTAACAATATAATTCTCATGTATAACGCCACTGATGAGATTGGTCGTGTAACAAGGAATATCATGATATCAGTCTTATGGTGATTGGCCATTTGGTTTTCAATTAATTGAGCAAAAGACGAAAAGTGCTCTCCTGTAAAACTTGCTAAATGCGAGATACGCTTTTTCAGCTTTGTACGGCAGCATTGATATAGTGAGGCTGTTTGTCGGTCTGTCAAAGACTGCTGTAAAGGGTGCGGTTGCAGACTGACGAAAGGAGTGTCATGTTAGCCACTTGTGGTTAGAGGCGGTGATTCAATATCCTGTGTATCAGTAGCCGAAGGAGCTCAACTCATTCAGTTGCAAATGATCTTTTCAAATAGCAACATATCGCTTTTCATCAACGAGATACTACTGTATGATTAATTGAAATAGTATCGTCGGCCGAAACATGATGGGATCAGTCGGTTTTTACCGAATGCGATCTCACCAATACGATCCAAATATTGCACACCGTAACATGTCTCGTCGCCATTGACCTGAGTAGAAGTGGCCACTCCCATGACTATCTCAAGTGCCGGTCCATCCGATAGTACGATAGTCGGAGCCGTTTGCAGTCCGTCCGAGATGCTCTGAGTATCACTCATGTGATAGTCTGCCGCGCCCACCCGATCGCCACTCCTTACATTGACCCGTGACAGTCCGTGACGGTTCGTGACACACCGCCGGTGGTATCACGGGAGTCACGGCTCGGCGTCACGGTATCACGGAAGTCACGGCTCGGCGTCACATTTGACATGCCGTGTGACGGCTGGCGTCCCGACCTGGTGAGTACTCAGTGATCTCTCGCCGACTCTCACTCCAGCTGAGTTCAGTCGGTCCGTGATCAATACCTCCACTC